AGACATTGAAAATGAGTTCAGGTCACTTTGGACTTTGGACTGATTTACACAAGGGTGAAACTTATTACACTAAGGATGAGTTGGTTATACCAAAGGATAATCTATTACACTAAGAACTGATTGATTACCCCAAAGGATAATCTATTACACTAATAAATGATTGGTTACACCAAAGGATAATCTATTACACTAATAACTGATTGGTTACACCAAAGGATAATCTATCACACTAATAACTGATTGGTTACACCAAAGGATAATCTATTACACAAACAATTGATTGGTTATACCATAGGATAATATATTACACTAAGGATTGATTGATTACACCAAAGGAAAATATATAACACTAATAACTGATTGGTTACACCAAAGGATAATCTATCACACTAATAACTGATTGGTTACACCAAAGGATAATCTATTACACTAAAAATTGATTGGTTATTCCATAGGATAATATATTACACAAAGGATTGATTGATTACACCAAAGGAAAATGTATTACACTAAGAACACATTGGTTACACAAAAGGATAAACTATTACACTAAGAACTGATTGGTAATACCACAGGATAATCTATTACACTAAGAACTGATTTGTTACACCAAAGTATAATCTATTACACCAAGAACACATTGAGTACACAAAAGGATAAACTATTACACTAAGAACTCTGGTAATACCACAGGATAATATATTCACTAAGGAGTGATTGATTAAACCAAAGGATAATCAATTACACTAAGAACTGACAAGTTATATCAAAGGATAATCTATTACACTAATAAGTAATTGGTTTCACCAAAAAAAATGATCTATTACACTAAGAGGTGATTGGTTACACCAAAGGATAATATATTACACTAAGAATAGATTGGTTTTGCCAAAGGATAATCAATTACACTAAGAACTGATCGGTTACACCAATGGATAATCTAGTACACTAAGAACTGATTGGTTATACCATAGGATAATATATTACACTAAGGATTAATTGATTACACCAAATGATAATATATTACACGAAGAAATGATGGGTTATACCAAAGGATAATATATTACACTAAGAACTGATTGGTTACACCAAAGGATAATCTATAACACTAAGAAGTGATTGGTTACAACATAGGAAAATATATTACACTAACAATTGATTGGTTAAACCACACGATAATCTAGTACACTAAGGGTTAATTGATTACACTAAATGATAATCTATTACACTTAGAACTGATTGGTTATACCAAAGGATAATATATTACACTAATAACTGATTGGTTACACCAAAGGATAATTTATTACACTAGGAAGTGATTGATTACATCAACGGGTAATATATTACACTAAAAACTGATTGGTTACACCAAAAATAATCTATTACACTAAGAAATGATTGGTTACACCAAATGATAATCTATCACACTAAGAACTGACAAGTTGTACCAAAGGATAATCTATTACACTAAGAAGTGAGTGGTTACACCAAAGGATAATATATTACACTAAGAACTGACAAGTTATATCAAAGGATAATCTATTACACTAAAAACTGATTGGTTACACCAAAGGATAATCTATTACACCAAGAACACATTGAGTACACAAAAGGATAAACTATTACACTAAGAACTCATTGGTAATACCACAGGATAATATATTCACTAAGGAGTGACAAGTTATACCAAAGGATAATCTATTACACTAAGAAGTAATTGGTTTCACCAAAAAAATGATCTATTACACTAAGAGGTGATTGGTTACACCAAAGGATAATATATTACTCTAAGAATAGATTGATTACACCAAATGATAATATATTACACGAAGAAATGATGGGTTATACCAAAGGATAATATATTACACTAAGAACTGATTGGTTACATCAAAGGATAATCTATAACACTAAGAAGTGATTGGTTACAACATAGGAAAATATATTACACTAACAATTGATTGGTTAAACCACACGATAATCTAGTACACTAAGGGTTAATTGATTACACTAAATGATAATCTATTACACTAATAACTGATTGGTTACACCAAAGGATAATTTATCACACTAGGAAGTGATTGATTGCATCAACGGGTAATATATTACACTAAAAACTGATTGGCTACACCAAAGAATAATCTATTACACTAAGAAGTGATTGGTTACACCAAATGATAATCTATTACAGTAAGAAGTGATTGATTACACCAAAGGATAATTTATTACACTAAAAACTGATTGGTTACACCAAAGATTAATCTATTACACTAAGAAGTGATTGGTTACATCAACGGGTAATATATTACACTAAAAACTGATTGGTTACACCAAAGAATAATCTATTACACTAAGAAATGATTGGTTACACCAAATGATCATCTATCACACTAAGAACTGACAAGTTGTACCAAAGGATAATCTATTACACTAAAAACTGATTGGTAACACCAAAGAATAATCTATAACACTAAGAAGTGATTGGTTACACAAAAGGATAATCTATGACACTAAGAAAAGATTGGTTTCACCGAAGGACAATCTATTACACTAAGAAGTGATTGGTTACACCAAAGGATAATCTATTACACTAAGAACTGACAAGTTGTACCAAAGGATAATCTATTACACTAAAAACTGATTGGTTACACCAAAGATTAATCTATTACACTAAGAAGTGATTGGTTACATCAACGGGTAATATATTACACTAAAAACTGATTGGCTACACCAAAGAATAATCTATTACACTAAGAAATGATTGGTTACACCAAAGGATAATCTATTACACCAAGAACTGACAAGTTGTACCAAAGGATAATCTATTACACTAAAAACTGATTGGTTACACCAAAGAATAATCTATAACACTAAGAAGTGATTGGTTACACAAAAGGATAATCTATGACACTAAGAAGTGATTGGTTACACAAAAGGATAATCTAATACAGTAAGAAGTGATTGATTTCACCAATTGATAATATATTACAGTAAGAAGTGAATGGTTACACCCAAGGACAATCTACCAAAGGATAGTCTATTGCACTAACAATTAATTGATTGATTACACTAAATGATAATCTATTACACTTAGAACTGATTGGTTTAACCAAAGGATACTCTTTTACACTAAGAACTGATAGGTTTCAACAAATGATAATCTATTACACTATGGATTGCTGGGTTTACCAACGGATAATCTATTACACTAAGGATTGATTGGCTACACCAAAGGATAATCGATTACACGATTAATCGGTCCCAGCCAGAGCAAAACCCTAAAGAATTCCGCTGTTGTTTTTCGCGTTTGTAACGGGCATTTTTGTTTGTTTTAGTATTATTGTTAGAAAATTACTCAGTATTTTTTGTGTTTTGTTCATCAATATTGACATTGTTATTATTTTGTATGTGTTATATTTCTAATACACCATTGTTGCATCAAATAAAATGTATTTTGTTTCATTTTGTTCCATTGATTTTTTTTTATTTCACAATATCCCAAAAAATCTGAAGAAACTCCCGCAAGGTATGGGTTATTGTTCAGAAATGATTTGGTTATGTAATAGCGATGCCGTAGAAAAAAAACACCAATGCCTCATTACATTTTTAGGCGGTGGGGCGGGGATCCTTAACTAGTAGTCTTTCAGTATAGAAGGTGAACATATCGGAGCTGTTATATTATCAGAACTACTGCCTAGTGAGTATTTTGGATGTTTTTTAAAGTGAGTCCGGAGACCTTAACCCCCTCCCAACTCTTTTTTCTGCCAACTTTTTTTTTCTTTCGTTTTTTTTTCGTGCCTGAGACGTACAACCTCTGAAAATATAACTCGACGCGTCTTTGAATTATCTTTGTGTATCACGCTTAGTTTTTTTAAAAGACAAAACGTCACAGAACTGTAACGAAATTTGTAAAGGAAAAGCGTTTAACTTCGAACATTAGCGTTTGCACCGCTGCAGCATGACGTCAGACGCTTTCTAATCCGGTGTGCCCGCTATGCGCGATGCAATTCCGTCTTTGCGTATTGCAGAGTTGTCTTCTCTTGTGAGCAGGTATTGATTGTTACGTCATTTGTTTGTGAGAGTAACGTCATCAATTTTTGAGAAAACGACGTAATTTTCTCACACAAACCAATGACGTAACAATCATTTCCTGCTCACAAGAGAAGACAACTCTGCAATACGCAAAGACGGAATAAGTAGACCAATCTATCTGAAATGGCTGTTATGGTTTGTCTATATAGGCTTATTAAGAACATTCCAATATGGCTGCCACACCAAACTGTATATCAAATTCAATATTGCATTTTCCGTTAGCATGAAACAATCCCTGTCAAAAATAATCCTCCTCCAATATTTCCCAAACATAATTGAGGTACATGTACACTAAATTTCAGAAAAAAACCCGTTTCAATAACTGATGAAAAAAATCAGTTTTTATATGTTTAATGCTAACGGAACGCATTATTGAATTTGATATACAGTCTGGTGTGGCAGCCATATTGAAATGTCCTAAGTAAAAATACTAATTAAATTCACGTTCAAAATATACTTCAGAGTTACGCTAACCTTAGCAGCTAGCACAATTAAGATTTTTTTTAGAGATACTTTTAGTATTTAAAACATACCAAACGAAATTCGAATCCTAAAAATGATGCGATTTTTTGTACAGATTTTTTATATTGTTTTTGGTACAATGCTTGCTATGATATTGTGCTATTTACGTTGTGTTTAATTTATATGACATTTTTTTATATACATTTTTATAAACCTACCTGCTTCGATTTGTAAATAATGAGGTGGCGTTTTCTAAATGCATTTTGTTTTCCGCATCTGTTTGTACCCCAGCACAGGTCAGAAGTTCGTATGGGTTTTTTTATTTGCATGATCAACACTTTGTCAATATAATATACACATGAAATCGATTTTTTGCAAAGTTTGCATTTTCTATCGCCGATTACACATGCGCAAATCACACATCTCGTGCATTTTGCTTCTTGTGAATGACGCACGTGGCCCTTGACTACGCACGTAAGTAGTCTGCCGTACGAAGTCAGCTAAGACCAGGAGGCCGTGAGAGCTTGACCAAGGACCAGACAAGGAGAGCTGGCCCAGGACAGACACACAGGACAACCTTGTTTCTTCTTCTCGGATCTGGACACTATTTTATAAGGTACGTACGTACATGTATACTTTTTTATGTTGCATCTATCATATATTTTTTTGTGTGAAATTCTATGAATTTGAAATAATATTTATTTTATTGACAATGAAATGGAAAATTGGAGTTTTTTGCAGGTTTGGAACAGGCTATTTTTAATGCAAAACAAGAGTTAAATTTAAAATATTTGTTTCGGCCATTTTTTTCTTTCTAAAATGGTCGTTTTGTATGAAATGCACACATTTTAATAAGCAGTCGCGTTTTGATTCTCTTAGTTTATTAAATAGATAAGACGGTAAAATAATGTTCACAAATGTTCGTTGTTAATGTCGTGGCACTTTAAACGGTCTGTTTTCATGTCGGCACACATTTTGGACATGCAATGGCAGGTCAAGAGGTGTCCAAGTGTTGGCGGGGAATATATATATATAATGATAAAATAAATGAAATGTGATTAAACGTGAATATTTTTTGTCAAATTACCGTATGTATTGCCAGGCGTGAAACACCTTCTCGAATCTTATCGGGAACTTGTAGGGGGCAAACCGGGCATAGGCAAGTTTTGGATGCTTGCATATCCAGGTTAGGGTGGGGAAGCACCCGGTCGGTGGTATAATTCAATCTTGTATCGGTGAATCAGTTCGTCCGTCCGTGTTACTGCATTATTGGATCACTTGATCATTAGTACCGGTATATGAAGCGGTGCGTTATGATAATCATAACCTTTTTACCCTTTTCGCGAGAGTTATGTCTCCATTTTCGATTTTCGTTTACAATTTCTATTTATTTTCGTCGGCAGTTTTCGTGGAAATTGTGCTCCTTTTAAGATTGTTCGGACGCTTTTCTGATGTCCCCTGTCAATTTTACATTATGCTCAAATTTGCCATTGTTCAGAACAAGTTGTTTTGCACATTTGTAACAAAATTTGGGTTCCAAGTTTTGGAGTCGTGTCAATGCAAACAAACAGCAAATCTTCCAATGCTACATCTGGCTGGTATATATTTCACTGATAACATGCACACATGACCAGTATCTACTTAGTTTAATCACGGAATTAGATTATCTAAGTCCGTGGTTTAATGTCATGCACATGCCACCGTTTCACTTTCACCTTTACGAGTTATCCCCCTTTATTATTTTCAATAAAGGGGGATAACTCCTTAGCTACCAGAGACCATTACCTTGTGTAGTTGTGTACAATGTAACTTCTGTACATTTTGAAGAATTGTCCTTTTGTTTCAGGATTAGTTTTAGATTCAAGTGAATTAAATATGATTTTTTTTAATTAAATGCATTGTATTGGCCTTAAAAAGAAATAAAAATTAAATCCTACAAGAGAAATAAAATTCATTTTGAAAGCATTCCTGCATCATTTCAGCAATATTTCGGCTGACTCCCCCCCCCCCCCCCCCCCCCCCCCCCCTGGATTCACTTGTTCAACTTGTGCTATATATAGATGGTCATCCCGAGCAAGGTATTTTGATATTCTAATTAATCTGAATACATTTTCATGGCCTACATGTTTTATCAAGTGTGCCCCTCTCGACACCAGAGGTCTCTGACACAGGTGATCTTTTCACACAGGTAATTTCTTGATGCATGTGATCTCTTAACAAGGCTCTCTTAAGATCTCTTAATGCAGGTGGCCTCTTAATGCAGGTGGTCTCTTAATGCACGTGGTCTCTTAAAACAGGTGGTGTCATAGCACATTTGATGTCTTTGACACAGTTGGTCTATTAGACATTTCTCATTTTGAGGCAGACCTAGCATGACAGAGACTGACACTGAGAGTAGTAAATGCAGGGAACATCTCAAAATCTTTCAGTTTATTCATGTCCCCCTGGTTGCGACAAAACACTGGAGAATTATCTTTTTGTGTTCCTTACCTACAGTTACATCCCCTGATTTTCATAACAATTGATAACTTCTCTTTGCTGATCTCGCCCTACTGCGATTGTTTTCAGAAAACTTTTTTTTTCAATTGCAGTTTATACTGAAAAATAAGGACTCTGTGCATGCTACAGTTAATTGTATTAGTATAGAAATCCAAAAATTCACTCCCCTGAAAATATCCCTAGAACAGTCTTCCAAGAAAAGCGTTTAAATGATTTTGTCTCCCCTTTGATGGCTAACAGGTGTAGCTTATCTATTGTTAAAACAGATGGCAGAACAGTAATGGTCGCTTCCACAGGGATCTTTAGAATTTAAATTGTTACTACTTTATTTGGACCTAAATTAACTCATGCACCCCTGAAATTTCAAAATGAACTATTCTAACCTTTAAAGTGGAAGAGTTCAAATGTGTCTTCAGGGGTGAATGGGTTAAGGTGTTTTACAGCTTTTGGGGGATTTGTGGCATTTTTACTGAAAAGGAATCTTAACACAGGTCTACTAACAACACGGGACTAACAACACGGGTCTACTAACACGTGGTTGCATGAGCAGGTTGACTGTATTCTATTGCTGCGACAGTTTGTTGGTGAAAGTTGATCTGAATTCTGTGTTTGCTCATTTTCAGTCATGTTTTGGAGAGCGTTTATGCTGGCTGCAGCCTGTTCTTTGGCATATGCAAATTCTCCTGAAGACGATTCAAGTCTGGAAGAGACTATAGAGCAACTGGTACGATTCGTCAATGACAATGCCCACGAAAACCACCTAGTAAATCAGGAATTGAGAAGACGCCACACCACTGAAAGTTAGTTAGAGCCTGTATATTGTGAATTTGGTCCATTTTATTTTACTGGACTACAAAACTCATTTGGAGCAATTTCAAAATTGTTTATTAAAAGAATCGTATCGTTACATGTGTGCCAGTTTCTGCATTGGAAATTAAAGATTTTCTTGAATCAAGATTTTCTTGTTTACAGTAATTGTACAGAAAATCCACCCTACCTTGTCCATTTTCAAAATTATATTCAAACATAAAAAGTGCCTTTATTGCATAAATCAAAGCATTTAATGTTAACACTGTTAAAGTCTACCAAGCAGTATAAATGGGTACTTCAAATAGCATTTAGGGAAGTAACCAACAAGGCTATTTTAGAACAAGTAATTCCTTTTATGTAAAAAGCATTTTTTGTGGAATCTGAATTCTATACAATATATTGTTTTTTTTGTCAAACTGCCATTTGCTAAAAACCTGAAAACAACAAAATCAGAAATTGCTTGATACTGTACGTGGTCCTTCGATATTTTCATTTGATTCAAAAATCTGTAAATAAAAAAGACAAAGCTTGTAAAGGATTTAAACAGGGTTAGACACAAACTGTTGTTTGGAAGTCCACAGGACTAGTTGAATAGATTATTAGTCCTTGGTCAATGTAACTAGTCCCAAGATTTCCTGACGAGGAAAAAATTGATCTACAGCACGAAACATCAAAAGTAATTGACAGTAACGTTTTAGGAAAATTGACAATCATGCAATGAATGCATCTATTTTTAGCAGTTTTTTAAAATGAAATGTTCTTATTTCATAACCCATATTTTTCACAAGTCCAAAGGAACAGTTAGGTTAGGTGATTCACTAGTCCTTGCTGAAATCTACTAGTCCAGGACTAAGGGACAAGTGTTAATGTCGACCCCTGTTTAAACATATGAATTATTTCAAGCTTTGTACCATAAGGCTTGGAAATATATGGCTAAGTTAAAACCCATCTTGACTGCAGGTTTTTAAACAGATTTGCTTTGCTTGATAAAATTTCTTTTCATTTTTGTTCAAAATGAAAGTGAAACCATGAAATTGAAAGCTATTTATTTGTTAATGAAGAAGCAAGTAAACTAAATGAAAATATAAGCATTACCAATAGAATAAGTTGTGTCGCGAGGTACAAGTTGTTAATTATGTTTGTAACTATAGTAAATTAGTTTTGGACATTTTCTAGAGTTATAGAACATGTTAGCATGGCAATGCGGTCTTATTTCAGCAGGTAAATGAATGGCAAGATTGTTTATGATTTGTAGAAAGTATGAAGAGTCGTCGCATGATACGAAAGATGAAATGGTCGACTCCCGAGATCAGGGCCAAGGAAGAGGCATCCCTTAAATCACTCGATGCTACAAAACAACTCATGGATTTGTTAGTATAATGAAAATGTTATTTCAAACCTTTCTGTAAAACAATTGAGTAATATATATCGTACAATACAAAGAGAAAAATTTCATTAGAATGTTTCTGAAGTATGTCCTTGAAGAGATGAAGTAATGACACGTTGTAAGAGATTTTTAATTCGTCAATTCGAAGATTAGGGGGTCTATAGCAGTACCCATGGCGTCGGCGTCCCACTTGGTTAAAGTTTTTGGGCAAGCTGTGTTTTTGTGTTTAAGTCATCTTTTAAATAATTGTACATTGCAATATGGCTACAGCATTGCTTGGAGGTTCCTAAGCAACAAATTTGACCATATTTGCTCATTATTGGTCCAAAACAAAAAGTCTTTTGGAATTGCTTGAAGTTTTTGGGGAAGTTCTATAGGTTAAGTTTTAGGGCTAGTTCTTTTGAAACTACTTGAATCAAATTTGGCAGGAAGCATCCTTAGTGGAAGGGGATTCAAGATTGTACAAATGAATTGGGTGTGATAGGGGTTACTTTTGGGGGATTAAAGTGGGAGTGGGGCATCAACAATGAACTTCTAGTTTCCTGATCTATTAACCAAGATGGGACATCCTGTAATGGCCCAATTACTATAAGCACTTTTTACAAAAATAACTTTAATAGACGAGCTATGCTAGCTGTTCTCCTACAGTTCTTGTTTCTTTTTACTTGTCCGTAAGGACTAATTTACTGTTATAGTATGTACATTTATATGATGGATTGATTGAACATTTAGAAACAAGTTTCTGCTGGTTTTCAGCAATATTCAACCGTTCAAAATTTAAAGTGCATGATCATAAAAATTATTAAAATTATCATTACAAATATTTCTGTTGATGCAAATGTTGGCATATTGAAATTCCTACTCTTGAATTGTTTGAAATTCATGTGAATTTGAGAATGTGCTGTAATGCTAATGAAAATTAGTGCATTCATTAACTTTGTGCTTATATAATTTACAAAAGGACTGGTTTGTCGCTGAGAGACCTCCAGGATACTGAAGAAATAGTGTCTGAATGGAAAAAGCAGACCACTGCTTGTCCAACACACCAGGTAGATTGTTCTTCGGCTAGTAATAAATTCCGTTCAGCAGATGGATCGTGCAACAACTTGGTTCAGCCATGGTTTGGATCAGCTGCTACTGCACAAGAAAGATTCCTTCCTCCACTTTACGATGATGGTAAGTACTGTTAGCCCAACCATTGTACCTGAATTACCCAAACATTTTTAAAAAGATTCTGCTTACAACTCGTCGATCGTACATGTACAGAAATATAGCTTTTGACATTCATTGGACTTGTAACCTTGACTGTGGATCATGACCTTGACATACTAGTGACCTGGACTGTTGACAGTGGATTGCTGACCATGATGTAGTGGACTGGTGACCTTAATTCATTCTCCCCTGAAATTTCATAATGAGCTATTCCAACCTTTGATTTGGAAGAGTTCAAATGTGTCTTCAGGGGTGAATGAGTTATGGTTAGGCCTATGCTCTTGATGATGGACTTGTTTCTTGTAGCCTATTCTATCTCCTGACATTTTATCAGGAGAGTTCCAAGAACAATTAGCGTTCTGGTAGTGTAATGTTAAGGCTAATGATAAAGTGAACATTTATGCAAGGGAGACAACTCTTGCACACTTAATGTAGCATACATCCTTGTATCTTTGCATTTTCAGGAGTTAGTTCTCCAAGAACTTTGGGCAAGAAAGGTCAACCTCTGCCCAGTCCTCGAAAAGTCAGCAACAGCGTCTTCAAATCTTCAATTGAGAAAAAGGAAACGGAATTGTCACTGATGGTAATGGCCTGGGGTCAGTTCCTTGACCACGACATCACACTTACACCAGCAAGCTCGGGTAATTTTTTGTGGACCCATAAACTATTTTCCTGCTATTGTACCCTATTTTATGTACTTTTGCTTTCATCACCTGTCAGCTTGTGTAATTTGTCATCTTACATTGGAATTCGATAAATGTTTTCCGAAGCTGCTGACTGAACTACAGTAGGTTTAAGATCCAGATTCCCAGAGCTGTGTTTCAATTTTTAGGTTACCTGGCCATGGGTCATGGTAACATATTGTGATAACCTTTTGTCCGTCGTCATGCGTTAACTTTTCCTTGTGAACACGATAACTTCAGTAAATGTTAACGGAGTTTGATGAAACTTTGTATGCACTCTTATATCAAACAAGATCTTGGATGAGTTCAAAACTGGGAATTATTTGACAGTAACTTACAGAGTTATTGGCCTTTGTAATATTTTTATTATTGGACCTTGTAAACACGATAGCTTCAATAAATTCATGACACATTTTTGCTACTAACAAGGTGCTGTTAAAATGTTGTGCCTTGTTTAATAAATTATTGATTTACGCTTTTACTTAGTTTCTTTTAACCAAGAACAGAAGACATACAGTTACCAAGTTTGTTCAAAGCAGACCCCTTGGGCCAAAATTGGAGTCACACCCATTTATTTCGATTATCTTGTTCACAGGGTCAAACAATAATAGAATTACCAAGGGGAATACCTATCTAAGTTATGGTCAAATTGGTCCGGTATTCAAACTCATCCCAAGATCTCATCGATACAAAGCTGCATACAAAGTTTCATAAAAATTGGTTCATATTTACTGAAGTTATTGTGTTCACAAGGAAAAAATAATGGGCGATGCAGCAAGGTCACTCGGACCGACAAAAGTATGAATTGGCCCCTGGATGACAGTCCTAATTTGAATCGGATGTCAGGTGACCGTTAAGGCCCATGGGCCTCTTGTTTTGTTATTTTTAGACTTTTTAGCTGACATGTGACATTTGGTATTTTAATACTCTATACCAAGAATTTTTCAATACAATTTAATACTTTCCTTTTTTGCCTGCCCTATATATAGTAATAAACTCATTCACCCCTAAAGACACATCTGAACTCTTCCAATGCAAAGGTTGGAATAGTCCATTATGAAATTTCAGGGGTGAATAAGTTAAATTAACACTGGGCACATATGTATCTACTGATGACACGAGTGACGTCAAAGACTTTTCTTCTACAGTATTGTAAAGAGTAGACTTGTCCCTTCATATTGATAAAAAAATTGTACAAATTTCCCAAAATATCATAGGCTATTGATTGCATAATTTAATTGTGCGTCTCTTTTTTTGTTCAGTATAGATTATTCAGGCTAAGGGCCAAAGTTTGACTGGGCGAAATTTTTATAAAGTAATATTCGGCAATGTTATTTCAGATTTATGACATGAATTGAACAGCAGAAACTTTTAAACTTCAGGCCTGCAAACAGTAGCAGGTGGGATTCTGTATACCTAAAGGGAGACAACTTTTGCTTACATCATTATTAGAAGAAACCTGTAACATGCCCTCCAACACATTAAACACGAATTTGTTCATTACAGGATCGGAGACTTCAGCGACTGATTGCTGTCGCAATGTTTCAACTGCACTGTAAGTATCGAATAAGTTTTTTTCCTAGGTAAGCTCCCTTGCTAAATTGTCCAATCTCTTCCCATCAATATTGAATTAAGGTAATAAGATTGTGTGGCCATTTCTCTGTAGAATTTCTTCAAATTTTGTAGTTTATTGCTTTGAAGTTAGGAAATGTTCTGCCACCAAAAAATATAGGTTGTCAGAATTTTAAGGATTTTAAATGGAAATTTATGTAAAAAGGAGTGAATTTTGAGAAAAAAACACATTTTTTTCCAAAATAATGTCAATAAAAATGACACTGACATAGATTGGTATTGCATTATTTAATATAAATTACATAAATGCTGAAATTGTGTAAAATTATCTATAAACGATTAAAAATTGATATTTTACAATAAAACCATATACGCATAGTAATTGCATGTAAGAGTTATCGTTCTTGAAAAACTTCACAGTAGTGAAATAGGTAGCCGGTTTCCTGAAGTTCAGAAAAATGGACACCTGTGACTCATTGATTAAAAAACAACTGAATTAATGCCTGGATTGCTTTGAAATACTTTAATATTGAGAGAACACACTGTTCTGTCAATAATAAACATACAATATTCATCAATCTAATATTAAACATTAGAATATGCGGAAATTGTGATACTGTCTCCCTATATTGGATTTTCAACTAGGGATGTACTTCCTATTTCCGTTTAGCAATGCACTCCAATGACCTTGAAACATCCTCTGTTGTGGTCGTTGTGCCTTCTCTAGCATCCTTAGCCAATGTATTATACTATGGTATTTGAAGCCAACGTATACTATGGTATTTGATGCCAACGTATACTATGGTATTTGAAGCCAACTTATACTATGGTATTTGAAGCCAACGTATACTATGGTATTTGAAGCCAATGTATACTATGGTATTTGAAGCATTGGCTTCATCTATTATTAGGCTTCAACTCTGTTCTCTTCTATTTCAAACTGATTGCATAATTTAAACCAGTTCATGATCGATCGTTATTTTTTTTAAAAATTTAACTGAGGCTTTAACTCATTCACCCCTGCAATTTACTAATGAACTATTCCAACATTTGAACTGGAAGAGTTGAAATGCGTCTTCACGGCTGAATGAGTTAATTAACTAGATCAAAATTTGCAGGACTCCGCTTTAAATTATCAATGAAGAGGTCGATTTTTATTTAGACATTCTAAGTTGTTCCGAAAGGAGCTATCTTTTGACCTTTTAAAACTTTGTTGTTTTTCAGACCCGAGTGCTTCCCTATTGCTATCCCGTCTGATGACCTCCATTTCACCCGTACCAAGTGTATGGATTTCGTACGGTCCGCTGCCGTCACCGATGCCTGTTCTCCAAGTAGGTTTACCAAGATTAAAGCTTGAGGATACCTGCACCACTATAGGCCTTAATGGACACATCCAGATCGACGCATGGTAGAGTCGACTATAGTTACACGGGGATGAAAGGTTTAAGGATACCTGCACCACTATAGGCCATAATGGACACATCCAGATCAATGCATGGTAGAGTCTACTATAGTAACACGGGGATGAAAGGGTTTAGGATACCTGCACCACTATAGGCCATAATGGACACATCCAGATCGATGCATGGTAGAGTCTACTATAGTAACACGGGGATGAAAGGGTTAAGGATACCTGCACCACTATAGGCCATAATGGACACATCCAGATCAATGCATGGTAGAGTTTACTATAGTTACACAGGGATGAAAGGGTTAAGGATACCTGCACCATTGCCTAAAACTCCTTACTGTGAATTAGAAACGTATTAACATGAGCATGACATTAATTACATATCAAATAATTCTGAAAATAATCGCAATACTTTGCAGAGCTTAATGAATAAAAATATTAAGATAAATATTAAGATAAAATAAACATGTAAAACGGAGTGCCATTGAATTTGAACCCTTTACCTCCAATCACGATATAATCGTGCTAACCAAGTCGGCTACCTGATCAGTGGAAGCTAGTTCCCTGGCCAAGCCAGACGACATTTAAAACTAGCACGAGTTAATGGGGACGTTGCTCGCATGTAAGCATGAAAAACTACACTGGAATACCCTACTGTTTAGCCTGCTTTGGAATTGATAAGATCATTAAGCAACATGTAAGATATCTCTGGAAATCGGCTTCGCTTGATTGTTTGAAACATTCGGGAAATTAAAACGGAAAGATTAATGTACAAGTACATGTAGGTCTTTATAGTGCTAAAAGATTAATACAGGGAGACCGAATACAAATAACGGGTATGATGAACAAGGTAACATAGTTCCTTAATGGAGATGGTTCTTGCATGTACATACAAAGTCGGCATATATCCTGATCAGTAGTAACCCGTTGGTCGGTGAATTATTTTTCTTTTTCAGACCACCGTGAGCAGTTCAACGCCATCACTGCATTTGTTGATGGCTCCAACGTATATGGATCATCGGTGGCCCAGATGAATGAACTGAGGGCTTTCAGGAATGGTAAAATCATAAACATATTACCCTTGTTTGGCTGAAGTTCCTTCTTTTATTTAATTTTTTTTTTTTCTTGTTTCAAGTTTATGAAGAATGTGTTTATCTAGGAAAAGTTGTATTGTAAATTTGACAGCTTGAGAACTTTATCTATATGAATTAACAAAAGACTAGGGCTTAAGAATTGTAGTCTGACAAAGTTTTGAGAATTAATGAAGTGCAATGTGTGTATATATAGGAAAATTGAGTAGAACGAACCTTAATTTATTATATTCACAAGATGGGATGCATAATGCGGAAATGTATAGCAACAAATTTAATTTACGTCGATTGACCTTAATATTTCCTGGTGAAATTTATTTGTAAATAACATCTTGCTCATCACAATTGATGTAATTAATCACTTATTGGTATACAAGGCTTAGATTTAAATATTGTTCTATGGAAGAAATCCATAACTTTAAAGATAGCCCAATTGTGCAGATTTTTTGCCTTTGGTCTTTTTCAATCACAATATATTTAGCAAAACCTCAACTCTGAAAAATGTTGATTCTGGATTACGAAAAAAATCTCCACTCCTTATATTATTGAGCAATACTGTTTTGGTATAGGACTCCTAGCGACGTCAACAGTTACCTCGAGCCTCCCCCCAGCTGGTGACCCGCACAGTTGTTTGATTAATTCAAATCCGGACTTCTGCATCAAAGCCGGTCAGTAAAATTATTATTATTTTTTTTCAAAGTTTTTCATTGGTTTAGAAATTGTTTAGTATTGCGCCAGTCCCCTTTGCACTCGTTTTATATAGAAGGGCAATATCAAATCAAGCCTTTTTGCACATGGGGTCAAATTTGGAAATTAACTCCTGTGGTTTTCAGTCCCAGAAGCAGTTCGCAGGAGGGGACTTAAAAACACTCTGGTCCTTCCATCCGTCCGTCTGTCCATAGAGTTCCCGGGCATACATCTTCTATTTCAGCTGGAGTGACCAGATTTGGTATAAATGTACATCTTGGGATGGCAGTGTCGAGACAAAGTAGGTCACTAACCTAAGATTTAACCTTTGACCCCAACCATTATAAAAGTTTGTCTAAGGCCCATCTTGATACACTATTTCACCTGGAGTATATTCGTATTCGATATGCAAGTATGTCTTGGATGGTGAGGTGGAATACAAGACTAACATGTATCTGTGAACTAGATCCTACAATATTATGTATACAGCTCGGTTGATAAACAAATTATTACCAGACTGAGACTGGATTGCCTAGACTTAGATGAAGGACTCTATTCTTACAATTGTAACGGTGACCGTGGTTTGAAACTGGGATCTTCAAAACACTATCGCCGACGATCGACCCAGTCCAGTTCTGCTACATTCCGCCCTCCTTTAACAAAGCCTTCTACCCTGAAGACACACACGAGACCCTAAACCGCCTACTGTGGGTATATTTTGTTGGGCGCCAAATGTAACGGGAGAGGAAAATTACATGGCGAAACCGTGGTTCAAACACGGGACCTTCAAAACTTAGACGGATGCTCGAACAATTGAGCTATCTGGTCGCCGACGATTGATCCAGTCCAGTTCCACTACATAATGTTGCCATTTCTAGGTCAAAGTGTGGTAAATTGCATACAGTTAAGACTCTCTAATCTGACCCCTCTATAATCTGACATTATCAAATAATATTATCCCCTTTGTAATTATGTAAAATATGTGGATAATTAGGTTGCCTTACAAGCGTTTGCTGTAGGGAATTTTCCTTTAGCTTAGCGGTAGAGCAGCGGGCTGTCGAGCCAAGGGTCGTGGGTTTGAGCCCCAGCGACGGCCCAATCTTTATCACTATTCCTCTCCTATTACAATTACATCTATTAAGACCTGTGTATTCGAACAGTCCACCCAAAATCTAAACAATAACAATGGTAAAAGGGATTTGATATTGTCATCTACAAATGTTTCAATGTTAACATGTATTTTTTATGTTAAACATGACTGCAACAGCAACACGAATGTTGAGAAAAAACATGTCATAGTAATTCTTAATTCTAGGAGATTCTTTCTAGTGCAATAAAGAAGTAGTGGGATAGCTAGATTACATATTATCTGAATATTTGATGTACAAATATTTGTTGTATATTTGATGTACGAATATTTAATGCATATTTGATGTACGAATATTTGATGTACAAATATGTGTTGCTTTACAGGAGATGTACGGGCAAATGTGATTCCTCATCTTGGAGCTAATCACGTTCTCCTTTTCCGGGAGCACAATCGGATTGCCACAATCCTCTCGGCTATGAACAATGGCTGGAACGACGAGAGGGTATTTCAGGAAACCAGGAAAATTATCTCGGGGATTTTACAACAGATAAGTTATTACGAATGGCTACCATCCATTCTCAGCCCATTTCATTTGTCCAAATTTGATCTTTTGTCATCCAATCAGGACCCCTATCGATCTCGTACCAATCCCAGCATTCGGAACGGGTTTGCAGTTGCTGCAATGAGATTCGGACATTCTCTGATTCCTGCTAATGAGTGCTATCTTCTCCGTGACTATGTTACATGGGAAGTGGAGAAGCCTATTCAGCAAACATTTTTCAGTCCGTCGTTAGTGATCCAAAATGCTGGACAGGACGTTCCAAAACTGGCAAGATGGGTGATCGCCAACAATTCCATGAAGGCAGATAGGTAAGATTGTGAGCGACGCAGCTCGTGTTTACATAGTACCATGCAAAATTGTTTTCAAATACATGCATGTATCGATGAATTTACGGCAATTCTTTTGACAAGATTTCTCAATGTTGCGAATAAGATTCATCAGTTTGGTATGAATAATAATGGGATGGAATGGGTAAACATGTTGCCCCTCCCCTTGACTAAATGCAGTATTTGAGTGCTTTTTGGTGAAATTTCTCTATAATTTCTGAGAGCTGAGTTTACCGATTCGGCACACTCCAGGCTTGGCGAGTGTTCAGCAATTTAGCCGTTAGACACCAGTCATTTACACTTCTTGATGAAAGAATCTCAAAAGCTGATGGCAAAATAAGTTTTCATTTAAGGTTTCTCAGATCAATGAATTTGAACAGATATTTACCAGTTTTAGCAGTTGAAGACTGGACACCAATGTGGCCATGCATGCATTGCTAAAAATATTGGTACATTTCCATTAGCAGAAACGAGACTGCATGTAAATCATGCCAAAATTTTGGATACTGTGAAGCTTTGAAGTTATGCATTTGTGATGGAATGAAGTATATATTTAAGCAATGTGCAGGTCAAGACTGCATCAATATTAATAAGCTGATCAAAACAGTGTTATAAAACGTATAGAAATATGGAATGTTGCACAACCCCAGACTTAGTAGTGTTATTTCTATCATTTCTATTATACAGGATATTTGAGCCAGGTGTTAGAAACCTGCTTTTCCTGGACAGTAACGGGAGCAGCTTTGACCTGGGATCATTGAACATCCAGAGAGGACGAGACCATGGAGTTCCTCCATACGTTGAGTACAGAAAACTTTTTGGACTGAAAAAGCCTAAGAGCTTTAACAAGCTGACTGACCACAACAGTTATGCCAAGGGCTTGTTGAAAGATGTCTACGAGTAAGTACATGTAGTTGCTTGACAGGGGTTGGTGGGTTTCCCTCTTTGTCCTTCGGATTTGGGGGTTTGACCTTTGGGTTAAGCATCCCGATTTAGTCAAACTCGGCCCGAATTCATGAAACTGTTCTTATGCTCAAGCATGGATTCTCTGCTCAAAACCAACTTATTAATGTCGGTTGTAGACCCTAAAAACGATGTTCTGGTTTAAGTCTCTTCCAAATTCTTCCAAATTACTCACAAAATGTGAATTATTATAGATTTATCACGGGATCCAGCACTAGGCACGAGCACAAAATCAGATTGAGCATGAGAATGGTTTCATGAATACAGGCGCTACTGTTGTCATTTCCAGCCAGCGCAACTTTCAGAATCGGTTCATTGACAACCTTTCTTTTTGATATTTCATGGACCTCTCGGGCATGTTATGGTAGATCCTGCTGTCTCTCGGAATTTCTGACCTCGGCCAGATCCTCAAATATTCCGAGGGTAAAGCTTGGTGCACCCTCAAAGTTTATGCTATTTTTTCAAAAATGAATTGGTGGCCATTTTCATCGGATTAATTCTAAACATTTCAATCCCAAGTTAACTACGAGGCCCAGAGGGCCTGTATCGCTCACCGGGATATGGTGAAAGTACTTGTTATGAGGTAAATATATAGCACTACATGGTAGGTACTGTATATGCACACATGAAATTTCAGAACGATCCATCCAGTATTTCTTGAGATATAGCCAGAACAAACTTCAGATGTCAAAATCCAAGATGTCTGCCTGGTGGCCATCTTATTTAAATGAATACACCCTTATTGTAACAAGCACTACTAGACAACTTCGAGACAAAATTGGGATAAAAAGAGGATTTCAAAGGTTTTGCCTTTATTTCCCCTATTGCCTCCCTCTACCTCCAGGGGGACTACACCAACTGTTTTTACAAAATTGAGTGCCCTTTGCCTTAGGATGCTCTAGACCAAATGGAGATGAAATCCCTTTATCCCTATGCCACATTCACTATTTATACAAAATTGAGAGCCCTTGGCCTAAGGATGCTCCAGGCCAAATTTAGTCAAAATCTACTGTGCCGTTAAGTAGTGTTTTAATGCAAAAACGAGCAGACGACGTTCGGCGGTTATGGTATAACCTAACCATGGTCATTCGGACCAGGTGAGCTTATAAAAAAACATCTTCTGTTTACAGTAGCGTTAAAGACATTGATCTGTTTGCTGGTGGTATGTCGGAGAGGAAAGTGCCAAATGGCCATCTTGGACCCGTGTTTACAGAATTGATTGGAAGGCAATTCAGAGATATCAAGTTGGGTGACCGCTTTTGGTTTGAAAGGCCAAGTCCTGAAGGATTTCCACCTGGTAAGAATTTTATCATGATTAAAGCTATACTTGAAGAGATTTGATAGGTAGCAGTATACAGTAACGTACGGTGGCCATGTTTGATATTTTTGTACAATGAAGAACCCTTGTAATATAACGTATTAAGATCTTAAAAAAACAAGAGGCCCAGAGGGCATGTATCGCTCACCTGTATATCCAAGCAATCGTGGCAAAATATTCTCCAAATGAGATCCAATGGAAGAAGCCAGACCCCAAGGCCAATCCTTGTAGCATATCTGTATTAGATTTTTCATGCCCAGCAATTTTATGTATGGTTATGGGATGGGGATCTCAACTGTTTCTAAGCTGAAACTAGGTCCCTAGGGTTGTGGCCAGACCCCAGGATCAATTCTAATATCATGACAGCCATTTGTCTCTTAATGCCCAGCATTTGTATATATAGTTTTGGGGTGGGGATCTCTACCGTTTCAAAAGGTTTTGACCAAGGGACTGTCGCCATGGGTGGGGCCATCCCAGAAGCAAATGCACATTCTTCTCTTAATACTCAGCAATTGTATGTATGGTTATACGGTGGGGAACTCGACCATTTCAAAGTAATAAATAAATGTTGGCCCCTTAGCCCGGGGGCTTGGCCCCACCATTTGTACAATTTTTAATCACTGCCTCCAATGGATGCTTCCAGTAAAATATGGTTTATATCCATCTCAACTTCCAGAGAAGATGTCGCTTAAAGCAATATAGCCGAATAACCCTTTTGGCCCCACCCCTCGGCCTCCAGGGGGGTCAGCCCCACCATTTGTACAATTTTTAATCTCCACTTCCTAGGGATGCTTTTAATCAAATATGGTTTATATCCATCCCTTAGTTCCAGAGAAGTCGCTTAAAGCAATATGGCCAAATAACCCCTATTTTGCTAAAATAAAATTGCCACTAAAACTACCATGTACATGATCTAGTGTCCAGACAACATGTTTATATGGGCTTAACTCTTGAAGAAAAAAGAAGAAAACATGTACAAATTGTGGGGATTTTATCAAATGTAGCATATGAAGGGAGATAACTCTAGAAAAATCACTTTAATTTATCATTGAACCATATTAATTGGGATATATAACTCTACTACTGATCACATAGTGGGAGGTTAGCATACATCCTTAATGTCAATGCTGTAGCAGAATTATGATAAGACATAACTGTCAACCCTCCCTCATTAGAAGGGATACTCCCTCATTCATCCTTGTTATCCATGGGTTGCGCTCACTTTCGCTCTCTACACCCCTGGAATAGGTCATAGCAAAATTGAAGGCTCTGTGTATGCCACCTTGTTGATGAGACAAGACTAGTTCGACCCTTTGATGTCTACATCAAAAGAATGTTGCGGTAAGGTAAAAATGACGCGCTTTGAAGTCGGGCGTCTCTCTTTTGTAATCTTCAATCGACATGTATCAGCCTAGCGATTGGTCAGGTTTTTTTACCCGAGACCAATCAAACAGCTTCGTTCGTGCCTTCAATTTTGCTATGACATATTCCAGGAGTGTAGAGTGTGAAATTGAGCGTAACTCCTGTATATATCAAGGATGTCAATCATTTTGACCAAAATTTACCAATCTCCCTGTCAACTCCCTCATTCAAGTCCAATTTCACACAAACTCAACATCTACATCCTGTGGTCAAATGATATAGTTACTGCATGCAGGGTGGGTGTAATGATCATGTATAAAAGGGAAAGATTAATTGAGAAATGCTGTTTCAGTTACATTTCATGCACATTCTCACTCATTGGAAATGTGGAATGAGAGAGGTACGAGTCCCTCCATTGGAGGTTTCGGAGGTTGACACCTACGTGTGAAAATTCTTTTTTTCACAGCACAACGTGACGAGATCAGGAAGATGACCCTTGCCAAAGTCATGTGTACCAACTTTGGTATGGACCTTGTAACAAAGGACGTCTTCCATATACAGAGCACAATGTAAGTCACTACTGTACAATGAGTTTTTACAATCGGAATTAAATATGGTTTCTTTTTTCACAGAAGCACCTTTGCTACAGGGATTTGATTCCTAGACCTATTAATTTTAAAAGTAGATTATAAGCTTGTCCATTATGCTACTGGTCAATTTTGTAATAATACTTTTCTAGCTTGTCCATTATGCTACAATTTTGTAATAATACTTTTCTAGCTTGTCCATTATGCTACTGGTCAATTTTGTAATAATGCTTTTCTAGTTTGTCCATTATGCTACTGGTCAATTTTGTAATAATATTTTTCTGCAAAATTACAGAGCAACTTCAGAATGTTTTCTGACTCCTTTGAGAAGTTTGCATTCTATAAATGTCTTTTGTTTGAATAAAGACGAAATAAATTTATAAAGAAAACAAACTTTTTTACAGTAGAAGCAAGGTTTACCTTTAACAATTTTATTTATATTTACTTTCAGTAATCCACTCACAACGTGTAACAGTATTCCAGATATAGACCTGACGCTGTGGAAGGAGTAATAGAACTCGACAATATCGAAATACAACGTAACGGAACTGTAAAAATTCTGAACTATATTATGCCACAAGCATATAAACAGTTCTTGTTTATTGAAGTAACTGTGAAGCATATTTCCACATCTTGACTAATTAATCAAGTGATGATGTTATTGCTTTGAGAAATGCAGAGAAAACATCAACCTACCAGATTTCGGTAGTTTCCACATGTTTTTAGATGTTAATATCTTCCGTAGTGTTGTTATTGGTCATTTTTTAAAAACTTTTTAAAAAACCTAACGAATGAATTGTTCTGTTATGCATTTATATCTTGTCGAGTTTGAATAAATTGTTGAAATGTTTACGAACTTTTGTTCTTTTTCTAGATATTTAGCATCCATTGATTTCAAACTTCCAGACTTTCACATAAAGTCTCTGATGTATGAAGTCTTGAAATTTATCCAAATAAAATTAAAGGGATAACAGACTTGTTTAAGAATACATTCGAGCCTCGTTAATCCAGCCATAGTTTAATGTTACCCGATTGCCCCATTAAACTGCCACTGTTTAGGCGAAAGATTTTAAATAAATTACCATTTTTGTCATAAATGCTAAAAAAAAAAATTAACACAAACAGTAATTGAAAACTTGTTTTGCAAGCTTTTGATATTATTAGTTTCCTTTGTCGGCAAAAACTCACAAAATAAGTTTTATTCTTTGCTTGACAAAGGACATACCAAAGGTATTCGGAAGATAAAAATTGAATCACTTTGACCAGCATTTACAAACTTACCATTTACAGTATTATATATATGCTTACCACACTGAATCTCGTTAAACTTTTTTCTTAAAAAATTACTTTGACCTATGCAAAAAATCAATAGGCTTGTTTGCAATCGGAAGGGCACACAACGCTTTATGCTTAAATTATTATCCCAACAAATTAAGAAATTATTGAGCAATGGTGACCTTGACCACTGGCTGACTATACCCAAAATAGGTTTTCTGCATCAATTTGGGCAACCTAAACAGGAAGTTGGATCTTGGTTTGGTCATTCGTTGTCGAGATTCCATCCAGACGACAGCACTGAAGCAACATTCTGTTTTCAGCAACGGTGATCTTGACTACTGATGAGCCACGCCCAAATTCAACAGGGATATCATTATTGCATGGCAATCGGAAGCTGCTGGGCACCCCACAGACAAATGAGTTTAAACTTTGTTTGGTAATTTATTCTCAACTTAACCAGACGAAAACCAAGAAATAGTACCTTTTAAGCAACAGTAACTCTTGCCTCTGGCAGAAAACGCCTAAAATTGGGTTATTCGCATCTATTTGGTCAATCCATTACACCCAAGTTTGATCTTATCATCCGCAGAAGCACAACCAAAACGGTGACTTTTCCCTCATGGGCCATGACTATTAATTCAATAACGTCTTTTCATATTGCAGATCAAGTTATCTGCTCTTGTGAGCAGGTATGGATTGTTACGTTTGTGAGAGGAACGTCATACATTTTTGGGAAAACGACGTAATTTTCTCGCACATACTAATGACGTAACGGTTAATACCTGCTCACAAGAGCAGATGTTTGCAAACTGGCTTCCAAGTTAGAACTTTGTATGACCATTAGTTCGGGCATTATGAATAGGCGTATAGAAAGACGCGCTGCATGACCTTTTTCTCCCCTATTTTTTTTTTCGGAGGGATAAAAATGAGAAGTCAATTTTAAAGCTTCAATTCGGTTTATTTTCTGAAAAAACAAATCATGACTCATATTTTTAGCTCACCTGGCCCGAAGGGCCAAGTGAGCTTATCCCATGGTGCAGCGTCCGTCGTCGGTCAACTTTTTCCTTTAAAATGCTACTTGTCCTGAATGGCTGAGAGGATTTTGACCAAATTTGGTCAGGAGCATCATTGGCCAAAGGTTTCTCAGTTTTGTATGAACGGAGGGTATGGTCCGTCTGGGGGCAGAGGGACGGGGCCAAATAGGGGGACAATAGGTAAATCTTTGAAAATCTTCTTCTTCTCAACCAATAAAAGGATTTTGACCAAATTTGTCCTAGATCATCTTTGGACAAAGGAGACTCAAGTTTGTATAAACGGAGGGTATAACCCCACTGGGGGCAGAGGGGTGGGGCCAAATAGGGGGACAATAGGTAAATCTTTAAAAATCTTCTTCTCAACCAATAGAAGGATTTTGACCAAATTTGTCCTAGATCATCTTTGGACAAAGAAGCCTCAAGTTTGTATAAACGGAGGGTGTGGCCCCTCTGGGGGCGAAGGGGCGGGGCCCAATAGGGGAAATAGAGGATTATTTTTCTCCTACTATACAAGTGAAGGGATTTAAACCAAATGCAGTCTGAAGCATGCTTAGGGAGAAAAGAAACAATTTTGTTTAAACTGAGGTGTGTGGATTCCCCTTCTTTGGGGCAGATTAGTGGGGCCCATTAGGGGAAATAGAGGATTATTTTTCTCCTACTATACAAGTGAAGGGATTTTAACCAAATGCAGTCTGAACCATGATTAGAGACAAAAGAATCAATTTTGTATAAACTGAGGTGTGTGGGCCTCCTTCTAAGGGCAGATTGGTGGGGCCCATTAGGGGAAATAGAGGATTTTTTTTCTCCTGCTATACAAGTGAAGGGATTTTAACCTAACCAAACTTGTTTTAGAGAATCTTTGGGCAAAGGGAATTGAATATTTATAAATGGAAGATGGAACTTTGTTACTTGTACACCTTTGATAAACCTGAATGGTACTCAGCTGGTTTTAAATTGAAAAATAGAATACCAGGTGAGCTATTAAGGCCCCTGGGCCTCTTGTTAAGTTTTACAGCAGTATTATTTGACTGTGATATCGATCCTATCCCCTCAGTTATATTTGGAGCGATATAAATAAGATAAGTCAATTTTAAAGCTTCCAAACTGGTTTATTTTCTGGGAAATAACTTTAATAACATAACTAATTATGAATTTTAATAATTTTGTTTACAACAGATAATTAGTATTGTAGCAGTATTAATGGTTAGAATGGAAAGACGGCCGTGTTTAACAATGAGTATTTCTATAACTATAATATATTTAACAGAATATAAAACATAACTATCTCCATGTAGTATACGAATATGATCATCGAAAAATTGCAAGACGGTAATTAATGAGCAACAATAGTTCGGATAAAGTAGCAAAAAGGTTTGATAATAGCTAATTATGAGCATTACAGTTGGAGAATAGACTGCAAGCATTATACACATGACGATTTTGGGTAAGTGTTGTCATAAAAGAAATTAAATATTAAAGTTATTGGATAACAATATACAATCAAAAACAATCCGTTCAAAACTTCCAAGACTTCTAGTGTACACCATATTTTGAAATAATTAATTTGAAAATTGCTCCAATTTTTATTCCAGCACTTTTTATCCATGTGCATTTATTAGCAAGAATATGGTATTTGGTAACAAAACATGGTGTCTAATATCAGTACACAAGTATTAATAAAAACAAGCTACCTTAATTATCCTGCAGTAAGCCCAGGGTCCAACACATAATAATTTAGGAACTTTAAATTATTTCGAGTGAAGTGATGACCAGGGCATTGAATTTGGTTATCAAAGTCCGTGTGATGACTAATAGGACAATAAAATAGCACTTGTTGGCTTCCAACTGGACTACAACAGATGTGGGTGGGCTTATTACCAGGCATGGGCTTATTGTTGGATAAATATGGTAACTTGTAACAGCATGTATAAGTTATTCAATATATATATAAGATTATATACATCTTGCATATGAATTTATATTGTATGATATGTGTGAAAAAGTAAAGATTAAAACTATATATAAACAATAAACGGAAAACAAAATGTAAATATAATATAATTTCTTGCCTTTACCAAAAATGAAAAGTGCAGATACAAAACAAAACTGATAACAAACATTTTCACAGTTCGTCTTAACAAATAAAAATGTAAATAAATCGGGAATTATTATCAAATATTGAAGTGAAATATTGAGAGTGGATCCAACTCATTTTCGAGGATATTTCGCTAGAAATGTATTTGTTTAAAGTGTCGAGTGTATTTTTTTTCAGATTCCAAGTTTTGTAATACATGTATCGGAAAAATAAAATTCAAAAGGTAAAAAAGGTATAGAATAATATAAACTTTTAAACGCAACACCAGCCCATATAAAACTTGTAACAGGTTACAAACTTGTAAGGTAGAGTCATGGTGCTGTTTTGCATCTCCAATAAAGGAGAGTTCCAATCTGTTATTTTTGTGTTTTTTCTAAGTAAATACCTACATGATAAATACCAAAGAAATGATCTCCTTTTTACATACAAATTTTTTTGATTCTGCTACTAATATTTGATCAGCAGACGTCTTTGATTATGAAGCTGGGAGCTTATCCACCAGTCTGGGGTTGATATCTGTTATATTAATGTTCAGATTCCCTAAACGCCTGCAACCTGTAATTGTCCATGCATAAATGGTAAGGAAATAACCTTAGTTTAGCAAAAAAAATCCTTTTCAAAAGCCTGTACAGGTATAAAAAAGTAAAATGATAGGACTCTACCTTGAACCCGCAAATGTTTGAGTTTCATTTGATCATTTAATTCATTCTACTCTTCAATGTATATGTTTATTCAAAAAGTTTTTCATTCTGACCTGTATCCATGCAAGGAAAATGGATGGCTCTTGTAAAAATTACAACCAAAAAGAATGGGATTTCAAAGAATATCAATAAAATATTGAAAATTAATGAAAACCCACCTTAAACATGATTTTTTTTATTTATAATTTGTTAAAGCAAATTGTGCCCACAAAGCTGATTTTATCAGTCTAAGGACTAGGGCCCGTAGTCCTGAAACCATTCTTGTGCTTAAGCATGGATTTTGGGCTTGCGCCCGATTTCGTGTTTTGGTTATAAATTAATAAAAAATCTTTGTCAATGATTTGGAAAAAAAATTAAGAGACTTAAAGCCGGACGCTTGACATGATTTAATTGAATTACAAGAAACGAAGCTTGTTTAAGCACAGAAACCATGTTAATATTGGCATGTGTTGATAACATGAAATGAATTAGTATACATTGACAAAGGTCGCACTGTTACCTACTAACAGCGTGACCTTTGTCAATGTAAGCTAATTAATGTCATGTTATCGACACAAGTCTTCAGAACTTAAAGCCCAATTAGGAACAAATTGCTAATCTCAAAAGAATGGCGACCCGTTGTTCCTCAAAAATTCAGTTATCTTTTAAGAACGAAAACTGAACAGACAAAAAATCAGTTTGAACAGTCGCCTTTCTATTTTTACACAACACCAGACTCTTGTTACAAACAATTAATATACATTAACTGTATGGTATCCATATTATGATAATGTTCACAAGGTAATTTAATGCATATATATATCTCAAAGCACCATATATTTAAATATTTCTTTTTAAAGAATGCTTATTACGCTTTTAAACTTTTATCCACTGTAAGAGTATTTCATAAATGTATCTTACATTTTTTTATATGTTGCATCGATATAATTATTCCAATTTTATATAGATATTGATATTTAATAATTAAACCTATAATATTTATCAACTTTAAAGTCCCACCTGACATATTTCTTTAAGAGATTCATTTTTATCATAAAACTATAAAATATATTGCATAGATAGGTTTTTATTATATTTACAACAGATGTATTTTATACATGCAGACCAACTTTGTTCATCTTTACATTTTTTTTTTTTTTTACATTACCGGTAATAACATTTTATATTAAGGAAAATAAAAGAAAATATCACAAAAAAAAATGTTTCACAAATTTAGGGAAAAAGTTGAATACAACTAGACAATTTATTTGACAAATTAAAAGACAGATATTCAAAAATATCATTCAGTCCTATCTCATTAATGAATCATTGAAGTAGCTTACTTTTTATGATCCTGCTTTGCTGAAATCTGTAATACTTGGTACCAAGTTGTAAAATTATTTGACAACTGTAAAGGTCCCTGGTGGCAATTTAGAGTTACTTCCCTTTCTTATTCACCAACATGAATGAAAAAAAATTCCACCCACCTTTATTAAACCCTTAGAATAAATGACTTAATTAACAATGTGAAGTGTAATATCTTTAAATAAAGTTCCAGGCTTTGGATGAGAAACCAGGTCTGCTTTCGTTTATTGTGATCCAAACTGTTGCTTGACAAAGCCTTGTAAGGCCTGTATAAACTTTTGCAGGTCTGCAAGGATTTCCGAAAATGTTCCAGATGTTTCGCATAAACGTACAGGCCCCTGTAAAATTTGACTTGGTTTGTGATTGCCAAAACATTCAGCACAAGAATGTATTATTATAGCTCTCTTCATAAGTTCAAGGTAGGTAACTCTTGCAAAATAATGTATACATTGTAATATCTTTAACCCATTCACCCCTAAAGTCACATTTGAACCTTACCAAATCAAAGATTGGGCAAGTCCAGTTTAGATATATAGGAGTGAATGAGTTAATCAAATATATAAGAAAACAAGAATTATTTGTAATTTAGTTCCTAAAATATGAGATTATTCTGACATAAGTTCCTGATAACAAAAAAATGTGACATTGGGTCCCTTTTTATATATATACTCAAGAGTATAAATTACTATCCTAAGAAAAATTAAGATGGGGTCGAAGACAACGGGGTCCCACATATATATGGATGTATGAGACATAAGTAAATCTATTTGAGACTACTGAAAACAATATTTTTTTTAAACCTGTATAAAAATGTGTATACTTTCAACTGAATGAAATATTTGAGAGATTTTGTATTTTAGTACTTTAATAATAATTTTGTCTGAAGTCGAATTTCAACAAAAAGTTTACAAGAGGCATGGTGTTAGGAAAGACAAGGGATGGATTCCAACCTCACGGTGGTCTTGCATTCAAATTAAATTGTCTTAAATAAGTGCGTAGAAATTAAATTTACACTTAAATTAACAGTCAGCTTTTCTAGAAAATATCTCAACTAAATATGATTTTCCATAAAATCCTTTCAGTTCATTTTGGTAGTCACAACTTTGTTAAAGCATATCTCACAAATGGCCTGGAACAAGGTAGCCACCATGTCCAATGATTATTAAAATCTCTCTACCTAAACATGAAATCCTGTTTTGAATAGAAGATCAAAGATTGTGTATTGATGCATGTACCGTGTTCTTCATTATGTGGCAGGTTTAATTAATTGTACATAGGAACCCGCGACCTAATTAATCCACATATTTTACACTATTCCCCCCTTTTTTCAAACACCAACCCAGGTTATTTGACTCCCCGCAAAGGGTTCTCCTACCTTGAACGGGGAGGGTCAATGGCACCAATTTGTAAAAGGACGAGGAATAGTGATAAAGATAGTGCCGTCACTGGGCCTTGAACCCGCGACCCTTGGCTCTCCAGCCCGATGCTCTACCGCTGAGCCAAATGGAAATTCCCACCAGCTGACGCTTGTAAGGCAACCCAATTAATGCACATCTTTTACAATTATATGTGCTACAGCTTAGGTAGTTCATGATTACTATACACTAACAGAGGAATTTCATGACTAGTGATGATTCTTACATATATAAACTAATAACCTCACTACAATAATACAACCCAGGTTTTTAAACTACACAGTTACAACTACATGTTTAAAGGAATAATACAAATAAACCTTTACCATCGTATAAGCTTACCTTCTTTTTGAGGATTCCAGAAACTTCCAGATAGCTGTAATGAGATCAACTACTTTTACACAATTCTAGTGACTATCGGATCTAGTGTCTGGTGATAAGCCCACCCTCTATTCTATCTATAAATAGGAACATAACGATTTTTGAGAATTCAAGAACATAAGGCAAGTTTCCTGTAATAAAATCACCCTCTTTTACATGGGTACTAGTGTCCAGTGATAAGCCCACCCTCTTTTTCTATCCATACATTAGAACATACAGATTATTTATAATCAACCTTGAAATATTTCATATTAATAAAATTAATAGACTAACGAAATTTCAATAAACAACTAATCAGTAAATCACCCTCTTGTAAAGATTTTGTAAAATATTCTGAAATATCAAAACAACAAAAAATCTTAATTCTATTGCATGGTAAATATCTTCCAATCAAAAATATATATATATAAAATGTATATCAAGGAAAAGTCACATTTTTTTCTGGAAGGGAAATGTCTCTTCAACACTGGGCAGCTCTTGTTTATAATCAAATTGTACAAAGTAAATTGGAAAAAAAAGTTTGTGACACCTGACATGGCCAAATTCATAAAATTAATGTTCTTAAAAAATCAAATGATACTTTTTAAACAAAAGCTATATAGTTGGGTGAATTAAAGTCGCACACCTGAAGTCCTGTAGCCTCAAACACATACAAAATAATCAGAGAAGCAATTTTGTAATAACAAATTACATTAATAAATTCAATTCTTTCTAATTGGTTTGGTATGTTTGTGTTTGACGTCCTTTTAACAGCTTTGGTCTTTTAAGGACGTGCCAGGTTTTGGTGGACGAGAAAACCTGGAGTTCCCAGAGAAAAACCACTGACTTGTGGCATGCAGTATCTGGCAAATGACCCGCATAGGCCTAAATAAAAGATAATTACTTATTGGTGTTTTAGACACATTTTAAACAAGTTATATATTAAATTGCTTACATCAATATCACAACCAAATGTAGGGAGATTCTGATTTTATACTGAGAGTTTTAGATTCTGAAGGTAACATATACAGAGACTCTCTTTAAAAGAGAGAGACATCATGTTCACTTGAGCGCTTAACCTTTGACCCTTGACCTTTAAACCTCTAGGGAGCATATTCCACCAGCGGATACCAGAAGAAGTTAAAAGCAACAGTTACAGCTTCATTCATGGCTTTTTCAATTATTTCATCATCATCTTCTTCATCAATCAATTCCATGACTGGCAGTTCTCTGCTCACACAGTTAATGTTTTTCAACTTCATATGCAACGATTTCGTCCCCAAGCCGTCGTGAAGAGTTGCGGTAACTTTGACTTTGTCTCCTTCTTCTAAAGCAGCGATTACTGCCTTGAATGCATCACCGACATCCAAACTAAGCATCACCGAGTCTGGCATTTCTACGTTGGCCGAAAATGAAAATGTATCGTGTTTCTTTAGGTGACAGTCCCGCCCTGCGGCTTTCATCAGCTGACAAACATGCTTTTCGTTTTCTGTTATTTCATCTGAATCGCAGTCTCCAAAGTCTTCTCCATAAATGCAGCGAAGTTGATCGGCAATGAAACCAGGTAAACTACTCAATAATGGTGCGACACTGTTCTCAATTTTCGTAACCTTGGCCCCTACGAATGTTCCTTCCCATACAACTTTCTGGCCAATGAAATGGCTGCATTGCATTTGACTCGGGGCTGTGTTGTTTGCCAATCTATTCACACAAATACTGCTGTAGTCCTCCCAAGACAGATTTAATTTTCCTTTCACCTTGAAACTTGGTAGTCGAATGAAAGCAAGAGGGATGAATGCTAAAACTCCGAAGACCACCATGACAATAGTCTTGACCGATTTATATTGTTTATCAGTCTTCTTCCCGAAAAGAGCTTTTGTCTGTGTCAAGAGAACCGGAACAGCAAGCATAAGGAGCGTGATTATGACCTTTCCAAAAAGTTCTGTTCGGAAAAGATAGTAAAGACAATATAGGAAGCCGCCTATAACTGCCAACAAAATGAATGGAAAGAGCAGAGGGAGAAACAAATATCCTATACTAGCACGTGCCAAACCTGTCCAACTTGTGAAGGGAAACAGTGAGGTCATGAAGTTCCACCAGAAGTAGCAGATGAGATGTGGTACCAATACCCTATACACACCAGAGAAGGACTTCTGCATCGCCATGACGATGAAAAATATCCCAATAACAATATGTGACAGTGATGGAATTCCGAAATTCAGCGAAAACCCGTAACCAAGCTCAATAGAGAAAAAGGACCCTGTTACGAGGTGCAAGATTGGAGTAATGACAGGGATATCCGGGAACGCATGGAAAAACGTCGGAAGTGAGGCAAGAAAGTTACAACCCAACGCCATCAGAGTGATAAGATCGTGGCTGTCACTCAAGGCAGAGAAACATACGGCAGACAAAGCACCAGAAAGGATCATCAACTCGGAGCACGGTATGAATAATTTATTAGCCAATGAGAAGCTTACGATGAGAAAGGGCAAGGCACCAAAATATATCAAATAAGGGGTAAGGGAATTCCACGTGTACTGTGATTTCGTATCGTCGACGTTGACTCCGACATCGTAATTCTTGAGAACATTTGCCATTGCTGTAGCATCCCTTAGTTTCTTGCTCTTGTAAAACATTTGTAAGGTCGAGATTACCATGATGGCAATCGCAATATAAAATACAATGAGTGGGACGACGAGAAACAGGAGCTTCGTTGATATGAAACTGTACAGGAAGAACACGCCAAGCAGGTAAAGCTGATTGGTCGGAATCAGCGACATGCCAAATTTCAAACCTTCGTCGGAAACCCATTCCAATCCTTCGTCAAACAGAACCATGGCTGTCGCTTTCGGGTGTTTAATGACCTGCGGATGAAACAATGCAATGTTGATAAATCTGTTAGATAGGTCCGTAAAACTTCATATTGGAATCATGACATAATATTTTATAGAGTAAGATATGTATTATATTGCAATTAGTTTCTGTACCACTAACATTTCCTGAGAAAATTACCACGGTCAGTCCCTTTTTTTTTTAGGCGAGTTCTGAACACCATTTACAGTACAGGGGATGATAAGTGGAATGTCTAAAGTTAGACTTTTGTGCTTTTATAGGTGAAGAGTTCTCCCACAATCATTCAATATCCACCACAACTTTACCTTAGTAATAATTCCAGCAGATTTGTATTCCGCAGATTGGGAGTCTTTTTCCGAGGAGGTTAGAGTTATCTTTCCTTGAATTTTCTTCGATAAAACTTTTGCAAATTCTGTTTCGCTGATGTTGTCGCCAATTTTTTTACCTGGAATGAAGTAGTTTTGAATAAGTTTATAATCAAATGCACAGCAGTTTAAAGAGAAATTATTAACACATCAGTAACTACATTTTACAGATACATTTGTTTTCATATAATTTCAACATCAACATCACCCAACAGAATTTGAGATAAAGATATATGAAAAGTATTTTTTTCATTTTCTGTTCTATTGTTTTCTTTTAAATGACAATTTTTCCCTAAAAAATTGAACAGATATATCAATAACTGTTTTTCAAATTTTTGTTTATAAGAAGGTCAATGTCATTTTCATTGGGGAAAAATATTAATACACCTAACATCCATTTTCATAATACACAGATTTTAAAGAAAACTTTTAAAGTTCTTGTTCTGATCATTGCCTATCAAATTTTGTTTATACTTACTTCAATATTTGAAAAGCCTTAATTTCAGAGAATTTGAAAATTTGCCTGAGTACCAAGTAACAAGCAAAAAAGATTGAGAAGGTCTAAGCCTTCTTTGTCAATGCAACGCCGGACAACAAAATTCTGTTTAGCACAAACATTTGTACCTGTATGATTGAAACAGTATTCCTCTATATTTTCAGACTGGATAGCTGTCAAACCTCCCTCATGAAGAGGGAGACTCCCTCATTTTGACCGAAATTTACCAATCTCCCTCGAAACTCTCTCATTCAAGTCCAAACTCACACAAACTCAGAATCTACATCCTGTAGTCAAATGATCTCCTAGTTACTGCAGGGTGTTGCGTAATGATCATAACAGGTGTGTCTCAGTTAAATGAATGTTTTTTTAAATTTATTTTGATACATAAAAAGGGAAAGATAAATTGAGCAAAGGTGTCTCAGTAGAGATTCGCACACTTTCTCCCTTATTGGATATGTGGAATGAGGGAGATCTCCCTCATTGGAGGTTTCAGTGGTTGACACCTATGATTTATAATATTAATGAGATCTCTCTACCTGCAGCTATCAGTAATTTTTCCTCCAAAACATCTCCTCCAGACACTTTCTTGACCGCTGTGATGTATTCCTCTAAAGACATTACTTTTTGATGTGTCCCCGACAGCGTGTTGAAAAGACCTCGGGAGGCTGACCGAACCTTCTTCTCAAAATTACTTGTGTCCACGCACCACTGAACGTCTTCTCGATTCTCGGATGTGATACCTTGAAATGAAAAAGAAAACATTCGTAAAATCAATACATGAAGAGAAAGATCCTGTACCATTTGTTGATAGTGTATAGAGTAACAATTTCAGCATCTGTTTGTCTTCCTGTAGGGCCAGGGAAAAATAGACCTGCTGTATCCGACTGCATGCTATTGTAACAAGCCCCTTATTGTAGGGCCCTCAGCTGAATAAGGGTTTTTTCTTGGGTGTCTCTTGCTAAGAGGACAGCAAAGAAACCAAAACTGATCTGCTGCCCCTATGGCAATACAGTAAAACTTCATTATACTGTCACCATTTGTCAAGGAAAAAATTGGCATTATAAAGGGGTTTGGCAATAAATGAGGTAAACATATAAAGTAATTCTTAACAAGGGGGGGGGGGGGGGGAAGACCTTGAAATATGTTGGCAGTAATTGTAAGTGAGTTGGCTATTAAAACAAGGGGCATTGTTTAGAGGTTTACTGTACTTTGGATTTGTACATGCATATCTTTTCTTTTCTCACAATTTTCGTTTTTCCTAGGCATCTGTCTTCAAATAACCAATGCTGTTGTGAGGACCTTAACACATTCACCACTGAAGACACATTTGAACTCTTCAAATTCAAAGGATGGAATAGTTCATTATGAAACTTCAGGGGTGAATGAGTTAAACGACATACAAACAAACAAACAATGCCACAACAAACACTATTTTCTGGCTTGAGTTTCAAGATATATTACATAGACTGCTTCACTTAATTTGCTTGTGACGATTTCCTTCATGACATTAAGCAACCCAACAAAGATCTCCCCAGTATCTCTGCTAGGGATCTAACCCTGGACTACAGGTAACTAGTCCAGTGCACGCTCTATTGATTAGGATGGGGATCTTGCTATGGAGCCCTATGGCCTCAGACCACAAATACACCTCCGGGTCATTGAACACAAATGTAATGCATAAGGACATTCCAGGTCAGTTACTAAATAGTTTTTCCTGTCTGATCTATGATAGATTTGTACATATTTTTTTTACACAGTTTTCAAGCATGTATTCACAGCATAGGACACAGTGAGTGATGAGGCTTGTGCATTGATGTTATGTGATTTTTGATATTTTCCCCTACACATACAGAGTAGTGAAGTTCTAATTAATGAAATCATCTTTCTTAAATGCCGGTCATGAGGTACTTTTCAGATCACCATATGTTCAGTTTGAATAGACCTACCGGTACAATATGAAATAGGAACCAGACCCTGCACAAAAGTTTGAAATATTTTAATTTTCTTTTTCCTTTGGTAGTATCATATAGAAGAATTTATTGTGGTCTGAGGCCTGCATATGGAGTATAACCACAATGTTAAGGGGAGTAAACCACAATGTTAAGGGGAGTTAACCACAATGTTATGGGGAGTTAACCACAATGTTAAGGGGAGTTAACCACAATGTTAAGGAGAGTAAACCACAATGTTAAGGGGAGTAACAACAATGTTAAGGAGAGTTAACCACAATGTTAAGGGGAGTTAACCACAATGTTAAGGGGAGTTAACCAAAACCCAAATTACCTACCTGTTTTTGTTTTGAGACATTTCCCCAGCTGTTTGGTGGCATCGTCGTTGCCTTGTTTAGAAGCCTGCACCAGCCAATGAATAGCCTTCTGGGAATTTTCCTCTCTGTCTACGTCAGAATCGGCAAGCTTCAGAAGATACCCGCCCAGTTTCACCTGACTGTCGTCCTTATCATCGTTGGCTTCAGCCTCCCATTGTTGTAAAGTTTCTGTGAAGGTGTAAGAAGCAAGATGTTTTTGTATGCTTGCACAAAAAATACAAAATTTTACTTTTAGTTTTGTAGATTTACCTGTTTAAAATTACATATTTTTGATAGCAAATAACTTTCAATAAATTTAAGTCATGTTCGCTTTTCTCTATAAATTCTAATTAAAGAGCTCTGTCCCAAATTATATACATTTTACACCCAACCAGATGTTTTTTTTCTGCTGGCAAGAAAAAACCCATTCAATTTTGTTTTGAAGATATGCATGTTTATTATTACAAAATTTTGATAGAAATCATCTTTCAAAAATGAAGACTTTCATTCATCTAAAGACTAGGAAGGTTTACTTTTCTAATTGCTGATTATGTCCCTATAAAGTTCTTTAATTAACACATGTTCCCTCTCAAACAGAAGAACAGGTAAGGTTAAATTAAATTTTCGGTGAATAAAAGTTAATATAAAATGAAAAATATAAATCCTGAGCCAAATTTTTGTCACCCTTTTTAAAAAAACAAGAGATCCCAGAGGGATCTTGGCGCCCACAATTTTACCATCTTCATTAGTTCTTTGTCAGTTCGATCTTTTCGCTTCTTTCCTCTAATCTGTTTGATCGAGTCATGTTAACAGTAAATGCACCTTGAGGTAACTTTTGATCTAAACTTAATACTGATGTGTATGAAAGCCAACCTTCAAAGTGAGTTTGTCATTTCACATATTTACTAGTACAGTACTTAATGTGAAAGAAATAGAATCGATCATTGCAATATGAGAAAGATCTGTTTAGTTCTTCCTTTAGCAATTTTGTTTTTATGATCAGTCTCAAAATATAACATGCACAGTGAGGGATCAAGGGGAACCTACATATCAAATTTGAGAAAGTTATCCCTGAGAAATAGTACCAACATGCAAACCTTCAATGTCAAAAATCAAAGATGGCTGTCGGTAGGCCATTTTGTTTAACTGATCAGTTTCAAAAGTAAACATGAACAATAAAGGATAGTGGGGAACCTGCATTGGCTGGCCCCAAATATTTTTTTTGGGCGAGTAAAAAATTTGAAGCACTGGCCTAAATGACATATTGGTGGACCAAATAATTTTGGGAAGAAATATTTCCACAGCATTTAACACAATGCTTCAGCACATTTAAATTAAATATAACATGACAATGTTTGTAATATGTAAAACAGAATAAAACATTATATTTTTAATTCTTCAACCCTAGTTAAAACCTGACATGATCCACTCCATTCAGGTCTTCCCAAAAAGAAATACACAAAACTTGCACCTCAAAGAAGACACCCTGACAGTATTTATATAGAAAATCAGAAAAAAAATTGAGAAAGATCCCTCTGGTACTTTTTGAGAAATAGCGATAACAAACTTTCACTATCAAAATCCAAGATGGCTGCCTGTCGGCCATGTTGTTTATCCGACCAGTCTCAAACGTTGCCCTGCACAGCTAAGGACCAAGGGGAACCTACATTTAAAATTTGAGATGGTCCCTCTGGTACTTCTTGAGAAATACTGATAACAAACTTTCACTATCAAAATCCAAGATGGCTGCCTGTCGGCCCTGTTGTTTATCCGATCAGTCTCAAAAGTTGCCCTGCACAGCTAAGGACCAAGGGGAACCTACATATAAAATTTGAGAAAGATCATTCTGGTACTTCTCGAGAAATACTGATAATATGAATTGTTTAAGTACGGACCACGGACCACGGACGCAGGGTGATTTGAATAGCCCACCATCAGATGATGGTGGGCTAAAAATGTTTTGACTTGTTATATATATATACATTATCATATGAACTTAGCAAAATTTAATTTACATTGAGCACCTGAAGCAGATTCAATATTTAATTTGAACTTATAGTAAAATTATGGGTATATCCCTCTATTACCCAATGAAAAGAAAAAGAGAATAATTTCCGCAAAATTGGGTTATTTCATTTAGAATAATTCCCAAAATCAGACTTTCAGAAAATTCCTAAAAGTACACAAACTTACTGTTCTCTATCTGATGATACAGTAGACATACACTGTAACTTCTGAGTTACGATACCACTTTGAACTGATCAAAGTTGCCCAGGCGGGACGAAGATTGCAAATTTTCCACTACTTTCGGGCAGAAATTGTTCATTATTTAAGGTAATTGGTACCATGGTACATGATACACATGGTTACACCTGTAGTGTATTTTTTACTATTAAATTGTACACCGTTAATTTTCATGAGTTCTTACTTTTGTGGCAAGAGACGAAAATATTTTAAGACTGCAGCCTGCAGGTATACATAATCGAACGACGAAGATATATGTTGGTAAAATTGTATCCTGACTGCAGATTGCATGCATCATCAGTAAATTATGTCTATCTACGTGCAGCTCTCATTTAGGATGTTGTTTACTGTGCAATTAGTCTAACATCAGTGTAATGTACACAAACCATGACATGTTTTAGTTAAATATCAATGTATTTCATACCATAGTATTTATCAATTCCATAAATGATACCATCCACTTTTCTTTTCTAAATTACAAGTTGAGATGATATTTTTGACATGTGTTATGGAAGGCAAAATACTCTCAGGGTGTGGTAGTCTCTTGAACAGGGGTAACTTTACCCAGAAAGGGACTCTTTGGTATTTCTGGCTGATACTGGGTGATGAACGATCAATATAAGCAGAAAATTACACATTGAAATATTTCAGAGCCAGGGGCAATAATCACACACAGATTATGAAAAAAATCTTCTCCAAACCAGCTATTCTTTTGAAAAAACAGACTTCTTAAAATTATATCCAAATAAATACTGTCACATGGCAAAGATCTTAAGAAAGTTTTGTTTTTTTCATCATTATTTTTTTAACTTTAAACTGTCCGTGTAACCATAATCAGCAACCGATAAGGCTGATATACTGATTAATAATCATAGACGTATCGTTAAGTAGAAATTGCAAACATAACAAGAGGCCCATGGGCCTTAACGGTCACCTGAGTCTATAGTATTTATTTTTGTTGTTGAAATATGTACCAATTTGAGTAAAAAATAGTATAATGTTAACTTAACTTTGTCAGGACCATGAGCTGATCATTCCTAGACCAATTTTAAGTGAGATCGGCCTATTAGAACTTAGTAGCAAAATAGCGGCCATGGCAGCCAAATTGTATTTCTGATTGACCCGAAAAATAACAACACTTTGTCAGGACCATGAGGCGATCATTCCTACCAACTTTCAGTTCAATCGGTCCAGCAGAACTTGACTTTAAGTTTGAAATAGGTTTTCAAAATGGCGGCCGTGGCGGCCATATTGGATTTCTGATCGACCCGAAAAATAACAACACTTTGTCAGGACCATGAGGCGATCATTCCTACCAACTTTCAGTTCAATCGGTCCAGCAGAACTTGACTTTAAGTTTGAAATAGGTTTTCAAAATGGCGGCCGTGGCGGCCATATTGGATTTCTGATCGACCCGAAAAATAACAACACTTTGTCAGGACCATGAGGCGATCATTCCTATCAACTTTCAGTTCAATCGGCCCAGCAGAACTTGACTTTAAGTTTGAAATGTAAAATGTTAACGGACGACGGACGACGGACGACAGACGACGTACGACGGACGACGACGGACGACGACGGACGAAAACGGATAGCAATAGGTCACTTGAGCTAAAGCTCAGGTGACCTAAAAATCCTTCTTTGCATTTTGTAACAGCTATTAGAGGGAAAATGCACGGCCAGATCAGGGTTCAAACCTAGGACCCTACGAACTCTTAGATGGATGCTTTACAGGTTGAAAACATCCTTGACCCAGGACGTTATACTTCAGAGGGTGCAATAGAACATACTCCATGCTTGCTCTAAAGTCAGAAGATAAAAATCCTCCCAACTCAAACACATTTGTCATCAGATTAGTCATAGTTTCTTTCAAAAACAAATAAGCAAACATAAAACAGCATTTTCGCCTTTCATCCTCTGACTTTGGAGGATGCGAGGTGACGTACAAATTCCTTTTTATGCTTTTGCTGGTTGACTGGTAGTCCTTCATCCGAAGATCATCACCAGGTCCCCGAAAGGGAAAAAGATAAAGAATGATATGTTTGATCGAAAGCTTAGGAAAATGGGAATGTATAGACAGGGAAGACAAGAAGGAGAGAAAAGCTGAAACCAAGAAGAGAGAGCCCTAGGTTGTTTCGCGCTAAAACAAAAATTTTAGGGCGAAACATTGTTTGGTAGTTTCTATCAATTTTAGTAGTTTTAAGTGACAACTTAAGTCTTCTTAGTCTTCCATATCATTAAAATCAATTTTATAAAAAAATGTGTTTGTGTTGTTTTTAAGCGAGTATCACGAACGGCAGCTGTGAAAAGCTGACTCTGCACTCACACAGCTGCTACATGAAATATACCTAAAACCAATGTAGAAAGTTAACAATAAGTTGAGTTGATATTTTTAAAATTTTAATTATCATGTTAGCGTACAAATTAAAAAAAAAAAAAATGGGAAGAAACAACCTATGGCAAACGGGAGTCTGAGGGCGAAACAACCCTTAGTGCAAACTGGACTTAGGGCGAAATAACCCGTTACCGATTACAGTCTGAGGGTAGACAGAAAATCTGGTACAGCCTTTGGTGGTTTGGATCTGTCGGAACTAGATACTGGTGTTCACAGTCTCGATTTACTCCGAGATGAGGCGAGTTACCCCACTCCCTCCTCCAGACCAATTTTTACGCAATGAAATTTTTTATTATTTATAACTAGTACAACTCTGTCACTATGATACTTTATCCCTCAGTATAGCTATATGCTTGCTTATTATTGTAAACATGATACATAAATATATCTCTGTATATCACAGGTGTTGAGATATATGAAAAAAAAAATTGAACGTTTGGCAATCTATGTGTGTAGACAGTGTCTACCTAGCGCACTTAGTCATATATGTATAGTGCTATTCAAATTCAAATTCAAATTCTTTTATTTCATTGAGCTTTACAGCTCATCTGTATGACATACACATACAAATATTACAAAACAATTACATGATGTGGGGGACACTGCACATAGTGCTGTGGAGAATGGACATCAGTACACTTTACATTAATGATTTTCTCAAATTGGTAGCATCATAACTAAATAACATAATATTTGCTTAACATATTCAATTCTTTATATAAATCTCCTTCCAATTTCCTGATAAATAGGACATACAAAAATAAAATGGTACTCATCTTCAATATTGTGTTGAGATTGACAGATTTTACATAGCCTTTCAGTTCTATCCCTATATTTTCATATCGACCTGTCTCAATATATATATAGACTATGAGCTGATAATCTTATTTTTGTAAGTACTTGGTCAAATAATGTTTTAATACTATGTCATTAAGTAATTATCTGTATAAATGACACTTAGATGAATTACAGTGGCTTGTCGTATACTTGACACACAACACACGTTATTGCTGACTCAGTTTAAAACATGTCATGGTTTATTTCACGCTTTAGTGATCATAATCCGATCATACAAGTCAGGAACAGGTTTTTACGAATCGAACTTCGAAGTTATTTTGGCATCGCCAACATGCATGCTCTATGTATGCAAGACGCGGTTATCTATAAAATATCGCAGAATTTCACATTAAAAAGGCGATGTGTTGATTAATATCAGTTACAAACCTTTAGAAACTTCAGGAACTTCAGTTGGTTTTGACGGTGCAGCAGACGGTGACTTCAGATCCGCCATTTTGTTTGTTGCGGAAGTCGTATTTCAGGTGGTCACATGATCACTTGGCGAATATACACATGTGACGTCAACATGTTACCGTACACGACCTAATAAGGACATACTCTCTAAGGGGGTCTAAAAACAAAACATACGGACAGATAAATGGTTAACAATATAGTTAAAAACTAAGCGAAAAAATAAGTATTACACTTATCATAACTTTTTTGAACGTCAATAAGACTGTGCCTGCATGTGGAGGGATGCGCATGCGAATATATTGATAATTAAACCCTCATGTAGATGCAGAACCTTGTGTGATGATGGAAGTGTTTTTTTTTTGTAATTCATGATGCAATTGTTGTTTAAGATATTTACTTGATATTTATAAAGAACAGGAGATGTAGTAGAATATGTATTGACCAGAAAAGGCGTCGATCATTTTTTTCAATAAATGGCATATTTTAAAGAAGAAGTCAGTCTCGAACTTTCTAGGGTTACATATAGGCACGAAATAAGATTTTTCATTTGTTTCATGTATAAGAACTGACCAATCTCTAGGTTGAAACATGCCCTTCGAAAAATACAGAGAAGGAACACCCGACGCCAAGCCGGTCAATTTGACTGTTATGCCGCTGCCGTGCAATTCTTTTGATGTACATGTCATTCGCAAGGTGGCACATTCAGAGTTTTCAACTTTTCATGTCAACTGAGTGTAACCCATGGACTTTCGAGAATGACTAACGACATGCCATTGAGTGCACGCATGAGGCGACTAACGTGGCGCCTACGGCACAATTGGGTGTTTTCTTCTGTTTTCTCCTATAGGGGATATCGAAGAAACAAATTATCTGCAGCCATCATCGCAATACTCGAAAACTTAATCTTTTCGTTTATTTCCCACATTCTCTTTATTTTCGTGATGTCTTCCGGGGGAACCGTCTTCACAGTGCAATGAATCGGAACAGGCACAAATAACGCAGAGTCAAATTTATCAAACGTATGAAAGTTGAGAGGATTTTGGAAAATTAACTAAGAATATCGTCTGTCTTTATTTCAATTAGTTTAACTCATACTTTCATTATTTTTCGTTACGCGCTATATATATTTAGCTCTGCGTTATTTGTGCCTGTTTTGAGTTTGAACAATATGGGATTTTACATCGGGATGTCCATGTGGATTTTTAAATGTAAATTTTACGTTGATTATATTTCAGAGGAGAGGAGCATAGGTCGTAGATAAGAAATTTTCGGTGTTTGATCCCCGATACAAGCTAGGAAAACATGTGTCGGACTATTCAGCGTCTGGACTAGCTTCAATGAACTACGTAAACTTGATTTAACAATTACGTTACATTAAACCGCTTTCATCTAATTTCATGTTGCTTTTATAATTAATGTCGTATCATTCTAGCTGAATTATACCATTAACGTTTCATATTTTCCTCTGTTCAGCTTCGTTAAGGAGACAAATTTCGCTATTTCACAAGAACAATAACAAGTAACAAACTAACGGTACTCTGTCTTTTATTTAAAAAGAGTCGAAAAAGTGAAAAGATGAAGCACCGAGTTAATTAAGAGGTGTGCTCCTTTTCCTTACATAGTGGACTGGAAAAATATGGAAAATGTGCCTGAAAGTGTGAAATAAATAAGATTTTGCAAATATGAAGCTTAACTCGTTTCAATTTGCTTCAGATATTCAGGTTTAAAGCCACTTCTCAAATCTATTTTCAACAATAAAAATTGTGATTAATATATGTAGTATATTTCACGCCTTTATTTTTTAATATCAATCTTGAATGTATTCAGTTTTCCCCACCTCTATTCATAAATAAGCATACACACGAAATTCATCAGTATTTTTCATCTCAAATGATAATTCCTTTTGATCATTGACACGTGTTCATCTTTCTCATCTGTTTAATTAGTCACTTATGAAGTTGAATATCCCCCCTAGGGGTTACGCTCACTTTAGCTCTCTACACCCCTGGAATATGTCGTAGCATTGAAGGCTCAGTGTGCGTCACTTCATTGTTGATGAGACAAGAAGACTAGTTCGATCCTCTGATGTGCATCAAAAGAATCTCGCGGTCACGTAACGGTAACAATTGACACGCTTTGAAGTCGGGCGTCTCTCCTTTGTAATCTTCAAATGACAGGTATCAGCCTAGCGATTGGTCAGGTTTTTTTAACCCGACACCAATCAAACAGCTACCTTCGTGCCTTCAATTTTGCTATGACATATTCCAGGGGTGTAGAGAGCGAAAGTGAGCGTAACACCGGGATATCGAGGATGATCTAGACGTTTCAGGTCATTTTTGGAGAATATTCTAAAGCAGGAAACAAGAAGAAATTAACAGTAGTTGCTATTGCTTCATTTGTTGCCCGTGCTAGAAGAACATCATCATCTTCTTCCGGTTTTTCTAAAACCACCGGAAGTATCCGACTAGTGCAGCGGATGTCCTTAAGTTGAAAACTTGGCATTGCTGTACCTTGGTTTTCACCAAGAACGGCAACGAATTCTAAGGAATCTCCCGTCTTTAGAATTTCCAGAATATTCTTAAATGTTTCTCCCGCATCTAATGTTAGTTTTCCTTTGAATTTTGGCATCGATACTGTCATTTTGAACGAAAATGTGTCATATTCGTTAAAATGACAAGTTTGACCTGAAGCTGCCTTCAGCTTGCACACTGTTTGTTCGTCTGCTGACATTTCCGTCGAGTTACAGTCACCATACGGGGATCCAAAGTTACAGCGAATTTTATTGACGACAAGAGAAGGCAGTCCTGTCAGCATAGGTTCGATGCTATTTAAAACTTGTGTGATTTGAGCTTCCTCGAATGTTCCGTTCCATACGACTTTTTGTCCAATGAAATTGCGGCAAAGATTTTGCTGCGGGATCATGTTTCCATCCCCGGATGTACATAGGTTTTTATACTCCGTCCATCCCAATTCAAATTTAAACGGTACAGAATTTTCCGTTGGAATAAAGCTGAAAACAGAAGTTAAAGGCAGAAATCCCATTACACCAAACATAAGCATTACATACTTCTTGGTTGAACTAGTTTTCTTTCCATCGTTAGATCCAAAAAGGGCTGTTGTTTGTGATAGAATTAAAGGAACAAGTCCAAGAACAGCAGCAATGGCAATTTGGATGAAAAGATTTGTTTGGAAGGCCTGGTAGATACTGTATAATATACCAACTACAATTGACGTGGGGAGAAGAACAGGCAAAAGGGCGTTTCCTACAGATGCTCTCACCAACCCGAACCACATGGTGTACGGGTACAAAGTGGTGGCAACGCTGAACCACACCTGTGTGATAAAAAACGGAAGTAAAACTCGGTAACTTCCGGCGCCCGAATGACGCAACGCCATGATAACAAAGATTAAAGGTAGCAAAGAATAGGAAATTGACGGGAGACTAATGTTTATCTTCAGACCAAAAATAGTATCAAATGTGTAAAACGACTTTGTGACAAAACCTACAATTTTTGAAATGACAGGAATGTCTGGAAAATTTCGTAGAATTGTTGGAAGTGAAGAGAACAGATTCAAAAGCATTGCAAGCCAACGTGTCAGTTCCAATGGAGTTTCAATAAAAAAGAAGAAAGTTATCCCCGTTATAATACACGATAAAACCGCCAGATCAGAACAGGGGATGTACTTTTTGTTCACTAACGACAGTCCAGCAACAAAAAGTGGCAGAACTGCAAGAAATATCCAATATGGCGTTAATTTATTTCTGATGAATTTCGACCTGGCTGCTTCCATGTCTAAATCCTTGTCAAATTTATGTAGAGTATTTGCAAGGTCTTCGCTCTTCCTCAGACTCTGCCTGTTGACGACGATCTGCAACGTTGCCACTAGCAACACAGCAAGAGTGACGTAGAATACAAGAAGAGGAATGACGAAGAGGAGGAGACTTGCGGACAGGAAGCTATAGAGGAAGAAGGCTGATATCATGTAGAGCTGATTTGTAGGCAGCAGATTACCGACCCACGACATGCCTTCTGCTGAAACCATATCCTGGACTTCCTGAAGACCCACTTTCAGTGTCTCCATCGGGTACTTTGTGACCTGGTAAACACAATATAGTCATCAGATAAGTTTCTCATTTGTGTCTCATTGTTTATTCATCTTAAAATAACTGTATGTGGAATGCTACAAAACAAAAAAGAATGCTGAGTTAATATCGATAAAACTAGGGCAAAATATGAACAAAGGGAAGATTAACATGGGCAACCTTAATAGGGACTACCATGTAAATTAAGTTCAAATTAAAATAATGTCACGTCCTCTTTACGAGAACCGGGGGAGTCCCAACGAAACAACAAGGCATACTCATGAGAATAACCAAAAACATCGACCTTCATATCATAAATGAAAAAGTATCTTTCCACATCACGATTGCGACAATAAAATATGTACCTAGCCTTCATCAACATGAATTCTATGTACCATCAAATGATCATTGACACTTTTTTGGAAGAATTACCAATATGCCATTTTCTAGAGATGCGTTGCATTTAAAAAAAAACAACCTGCGATGCAATTTTAAGAATTACTGCCGTTTGAATCTCGAGTATTTGAGAACGAAAAGAATCAAAAATGAAAACAAAAGGTTCTAGGGGTCGAGCTGGGGACCCGTCCGATTCTACACTTTACCAGTGCTGCTACCCAGGAGTTTGGAAATGCTCGGTATCAAAATATGAGATCTAGACTAATACCTTACAAAGGGTAGTAAGAGGAAAAGATATCTTATGTTGCTTTATTTGCTATATATAAGAGAGAATGTTCCAATTCGATAAAACAGTTCAGAGTGGAGCTCTTCTTCGCGACTTGAGCTTGTTCAGTGGTATTCTTTCCCTTAATTCACTCTACTGATGATACATAGGGAGATTGAAGTATTCCGAAAATGTAAAGAGTCTGCAATATTTTCAACCGAATTACGTAATATTATACAGTATAGATTTGTCGCAACAAATTAAAAAGATAGCAAGTCTTACCCTTGTAAACATATCAGCTGATTTGAATTCATTTGATTGGCTTTCTCGTTCCGATGACGTCATGTTAAGTGTCCCCTGAATCTGCTCTGATAATATTCTTGATAGTTTCTCCTCGGTGACGTCATCTCCAGCTTCCTTGCCTACAATCCAGTAAAATATAAGGAATAAATATCTTCCAGAAGTCTTAAACTTAACAATTTGTTGATATATTTCATTTCAACAAATTTTACATCTTCGCTAGTCAAGGGTTACGAGCCGGTCTACCTATACTCTTCAAATTTTACTGAACAAGCAGGAATGAATAAAAATCTAGATTTAACTGCAAGTAAATACAACTGTAAACAAATCAATAAATGAGAAAAACCGAGTTTTATCAAACATGTATTCAGATAAGTTATTACATGTCATTGTTTTTAAATATACGTTACGTTTAAAGAGGACTAAATTTTGTATATTTTTGACCAATTATTTGTTTCAATCTTATTTATTTATTTATTTATCTATTTTTACTGGGTAAACTCTAAAGTGCCAGTGATTTTCAGCCATGGTGTTCTAAAGAATCGACCCCTTAAACAGTTGTTACTACCCAGGCGATTTTTTGTTATAGAACAGCCAAGGAATAAGACGGGGAAATACTGTCACACGTACAAGCTACATTGTTCACTTGAAGTGTGCCCACCCGCACGTTTCAATCACATGGACCCGACAACTTGTTACAACAATATTTGGACTTAAACTGAGGTATTCATAGTAATTTTACTCGTTTTAAGGGTTTATATCAATTTGCGGTAAAATGACTCTCCCATTGTTGGATTACTCTAAACACAGGTACAAGCTTCGTCTGTCAATACACCCATAATATAATCATGGGTGTATTGACAGACGAGGCTAGTACCTGTGCTCTGTTACAACTATAGCTGTAATATATTTGCAGGTCCCTGTGGTTACAATGGCAACGAATGGTTCTCTGTAGCATCATACAAAGAAATATATCTTACAAAAGCAAAATAGAAAATATCAATATGGTAAAAGTAGGAAATGGCGCACCTGCCAACACGAGCATTCTTTTAACACGCATATTCGCTTCCATTGCCTTCACTGCTGTGACGTAATCCTTAAACGACAGAGGACCATCACTGTCGTCTCTGTGGATTGTCTTGAAAAGCTGTCTTGCGGATTCCCGAATCCTCTTTTCCTGGTCGCTGGTTTCCAAGCACCATTTTACAGCTGCTTTGTTCGCCTCCGTGATACCTGAAGCACGAGTGAAAGAATGCATTCGAAAATACTGTGTGGGTTTATGGGAACATAGACCTGTTCTATTCCGCTGCATGATTTGAAAAGATTAATAATGCTCTTGGCTGTTCTGAGGACATGACAACGCAAACAGAAGGAAGGACAAAAGTAAAACAAATTCACAGCAAGCATTTGTTGCAATAACTCATAAACGTCATGAACAATTGAATGCAGCGTGCCGGCATTGCAGATATGTTTGTTTGACGGTTTGGACTGACGTCGCAGTTAACATATACTAAGAGATCCCAGAGGGTTCTTGACGCCAATCTTCGTTACATGTTCATAGGTTCTTTTTACGCAAGCTTTCTATTTTCTGTTCTTTAATGTTGTCTATTGGAAAGAGTCTCGTAAAAAGTAGATGCACCTTCTGGTAACTTTGATACATAAAAACCCCGCGATATTGCTGTATATCTATATGCTGTATTTACATGATATTGTTCTTTCAAAGTGATGTTGTGGTTTGACCTAGTTAGTAGCACAGTACTTAAAGTGTAGCAAGGGAACCTAAATTTAAAATTTGAAAGATCTGTCAAGTACTTCTGAGGAATTAGTGATAATAAACCTTGGGACAACCAAAATCAAAGATGGTTTCTTTGTAACCATTTTGTTTTTCTGATCAGTCCCAAAAATCAATATGCATAAAAAGAGACAATGGGATACCTTGATGTGAAATGTGAGAAAGACCCCTTCAGTCCTTTATGAGAAATAGCGCTAACAATATTTCATTCTCTAAATTCAAGATGGCCGCAAGTTGGCCATCTTTATTTTCTCAATCAGTTCCAAAATTATTACATGCATAACTTAGGTCATGGGGGAACGTGCATGTGTAGTTAAAGAAAGAACCCGACAGTACTTTCTTAGAAATAGCGCAAACAAAACAGACGGATGGCCAGACCACAGGCGAAGGGTGATTTGAACAGCCCACCATGTGATGATGGTGAGTGTCAAAGGACATTTGGCGACGGATGTCTAGATTAATATCAAGGGACTATGAATTGTTTGGTAATTTTTAACGTAGCATTTGTTTTCATTCTTACCTGTTTGGCCCTTGACACATTCACGAAGTAAAACTGTGGCATCGTCGTTGGCTTTTTGTGAAAGACTGACTAGAAAATCAACAGCTTTCTTCCCGTTTTCCTCTGCATCGGTATCTGATTTTACTAATTTCAGTAAATACGTGGCGTATTCTAACTGCTTTGTTTCGTCTCCATCTTCTACCGCCGCTTCCAGTTGTTTTTGTTGATCAGGGTGTTCTGGTGTACAGATAAGATACAATAATTGTACAACGAGCTTACTTACCACTGATCTAATCAACGGAATCGACCTACCAACAAACTAACCAACGAAATCGACAAATCAATAAACTGACCAACGAAATCAACAATCCAACCAACAAAATCGAGAAACCAATTAACTAATTACTTACGAGCATACTAACCAACGAGCTTATTTTCTCAATTCCATTTGTAACAGGTTCAAAGACCGCGATAATTTAAGTTGTTAACAATTTCATCTTATCTTATTTTGAAAATAACGGGATTGGGAAGCAGGCTTAGCCAATATAAATAATCGCCTGGTAGGCTTTAAATGATTGGTACGTCATTAGTTTGTGTGATAAAATTACGCCGTTTTCTCAAAAAACGTTACTGACGTATCAATCAATGCCTGCTCACAAGAGCAGATAACTCTGCAATACGAAAAGACGGAATAGGCAAACTGCCAAATTTTAAGTACCCCGGAAGTTACAAGGGTACGCCTCCTCTATTACTGGTACAGTGTAGTGGTATATTGCACGTCGGTTTTATACATGCATTTGACAACTGTTGTATATTTCGTATGATATAAAAGTAAAAATTTGTCAGCAATAAAAATGCACATATCTTGCAAAACAAGCTACATACATAAAACCCTACTTTGAAGCTCTGTAATAATGATATACCCGCAACCTGTTCACACTAAATAACCTATTCATACATCCCATATCTATATCACTATACAGGACTAGAGTAACATTGATAAAATTTCGGCATGAAATATATCATCCATTTTTTAGTGCTAGAAAACAACCCCAGCAACAGCCACGTACCCCTCTACTTGAAACAACAATACATGTACATACATTTTGATCTGTTTATGGTATAGTGAACATATTTAAACCAGCACGGATAATTGGGGCGCCTCTAGTTTTTCCTCTGCTATAGAGGCGATATGGAGGTATTCACATCCTTTCATCATAAATGATGGATCATTAGTGGGTGGGTATATTCCATTTCTCACCGTGATGGTGAGTAATCGCTAAACAGCTATATAAATCCCTGTTAAGACGAGACTTAAGATTAAGGTGCTTGTGTATGACTGTATTGTACCGGTGTTATCTCGATCAAATGTAAAGTTAAGCTATTGTTCATCGTCAAATTTACTGATGTTATTAAGTACATCAATAATTATATATATACAAATACTTCTTACCTGCCATAACTTGGAATGTCCTTTTTAACGTTCCCCAAGTAGATTTGACTCCCGAGAACCTGTTATATAGATGTATTATGTATTCCAATGGCTAATGGACACGGGCTTGTAAAATGCACTTTGTATTTCAGTACTTGTGTACACTACCGACCTTCGACATGTACTATCTTATACACATCACAGGGTCCTGAGAATTCGGTTAACCTAAACTGAGGTGTCCAGAGTAATATCACAGGTTTTATTGGTTTAGATCAACTTTCGGTAAAAAGTGTCCCCCTATTTACTGGACGTTTATTGAACTCCATAACATTTCGCGGTTGGCCCGACCAGATCTATTTTGCGGGAATTACATTTCGCGCAACATTGCCAGGTAAAGAAATTAAACCACAAGAATATATATTTATATTTTGGTGATGGATTTTTTTTTTGAGGATTTTTTTGTAAAAATTAAGTTAAATACGATATTGAATTCTTGTTTTTTTCTTCGTTACTGGTCAGTAAACAGGTATTTTGTGTGTTATACGTATATAAATGTGCATTCACAGAGTTTATAATACATGGTATTAATGTTAGCTGAGTATTTAATTTCGCGTTATCTCTGGTGACCGTGAAATTAAATCCCCGCGAATATTAGCAACACCTCAGTTTGGGTCCATACATATAGCTGTCACGAATTTTCAGGTCCCTGTGATTGACATCATCCGTAGGCGGCTGACTACCTGTATATATATATATGTATATAAAGCGTTGCTTACGCTACTGTTGATTATCATGCTCAATATATATTTATCAGCCTTATGATACAATATAGACAACGCGGACAAAAGAATAGTTTTAAAGACAGTCAACGAATGGCTAAACAATTGACAAATTCATCTTTAATATTTTTTTGAAGGACGGACTTAATAGTGTGAAATAACTGGTGCGATCTCTGCTCAGACTGATTGTTTTAAAAAGAAAACTCGGCCCTATCAAAATTATCTAAACACACAGGTATTATATTTTCAAGTCACTAGTCCTCAAAAAACTCTTCTGGAAGACTTTCGGTTTGGATAAAATGGGCCAAATGTACATGAAATGACAAATTTGTTTTCATATCATTTTCATGTAATTACGGTACAGCGCCACCTTTCACCGATTATTCTCAATGTTACTATAAATGTAAATGTTACTATAAATGTTACTTAATGTTTATGTTACTATAAATGTTTATGTTACTATAAATGTTTATGTTACCATAAATGTAAATGTTACTATAAATGTTAATGTTACTATAAACGTTTATGTTCCTATAAATGTTTATGTTACTATTTATGTTACTATAAATGTTTATGTTACCATAAATGTTTTTGATACCGTAAATGTTACTATAAATGTTAATGTTACTATTTATGTTACTATAAATGTTTATTTTACTATAAATGTTTATGATACCATAAATGAAAATGTTACAATAAATGTTAATGTTACTATAAATGTTTATGTTACTATAAATGTTTATGTTACTATAAATATTAATGTTACTATGAATATTTATATTACTATAAATGTTAATTTTACTATAAATGTTAATTTTACTATAAATGTTTGTTACTATAAATGGTTATGTTACTATAAATGTTTATGTTACTATAAATGTTTATGTTACTATAAATGTGTATGTTACCATAAATGTTAATGTTACTTTAAATGATACTATAAATAATTAAATGGTACCTACAGCCTCAAAGAAAATATACTCTTTTCCTAAATATCGATATATTGAATTAACCACTTTTGAATAATATACAACTACGTGCAATTTTAAGGGTCCTTGTACCACTGCCAAAGCTGTAACTAAGTGCTAACCTAACTAAGACCCGGTTTCTAGCCATACCTGGACTTCAGAGTTTTATACCATCGTTTTATCCGATTAAGGTACCTGATCAACGGAAGTGTGCTTGCCGATATATCCAAGCGGAAATTAAGGTAAGGTTACTGTATATAGGAAAAGCAGAGCATAGTGCATCCTCGATACTCCAGGGAGTAAGTACGCTCACGTACGCTTTCTGCACCCCAGGAATATGTCAAAGCAAAATTGAAGACACAAAGAAAGCTGCTTGATTTGTCTCGGGTAAAGATACCAATCGGGAGCCGTCGGCACTTTCCGTAAACGAGAAAAAACAGTATTTTCTCGTTTACGGAAAGTGCCGACGGTTCCCGATCGGGCTGATACATGGCCTTTGAAGATTACACAGGAGCGACACCCGACTTCAAAGCCAGTTAATTTTCACAGTTACGCGACCGCGATATTCTTTTTATGGACATGAAAGGATAAAAAACCTGTCTCATAAACAAGGTGCGCGCACTGAACCCTCAATTTTGCTATGAAGTATTCCAGGTATCGAGGATAAGTACGGTGGGACATAGTCCGAATTATTCTGACGTTTTATCAACTTTTTTCATATCGGTCTGTCGTCGATTAACGTCAAAACTCCGGCCCTCTATGATATGCGGGAAATATGCGAGCCGCGCCCGGAGCGCACTTCAAACTGATATTTTAGAAACAAATCGTCACTTTCACACACATGTCGCACATGGATCGACAGATCTATTCTTTATGCACTAGGTGGTATCAATAGCATGTTTCAAAGATCATTACGAAAAGTATTTTCCAACGTTTTCTAAACCAACCCATGTTTTAATGGAAATTAGGGCATGAGCAATGTCATATGATGTGACGAGATCTCGCGTTACCGAAGGTATTTCCCAACGTTATGACGTACGCCGGCGAGATTTTAGTCACGTTGCATTGGAAGGCGAGGCTATAAAAAACTAGAGTAAAACAGAGTAAGTTTGAAATATATGTTTTTAGTGATTGTATTGGTTGTTTGAGGCATGTAATTTATGTGCATCTTGTGCATAAAGAATTGATATTTCGATCCATGTGCGACATGTGTGTGAAGGTGACGATTTGTTTCTAAAATATCAGTTTGAAGTGCGCTCAGGGCGCGGGTCGCATATTTCCCGTTTATTATAGAGGGTTGGAGTTCTGACGTTAATCGACGACAGACCGATATTAAAAAAGTCGATAAAACGTCAGAATAAACCGGACTAGGTGGGACAGGGATCCTTAACGTAGAAAAATGTTTGTACTTGGACTCAACGTTTGGAAAACTTGCTGATCGAGTTATTATTTTATGATGAATTGTGGCATGCCACGGTTTATTGAAGAGATTATGCTGATGTCAAGATCAATTTTGCATGGATATAGAATCAGGAAAAAAACCATATCCAGCTTTCCAACTATGATTAAGAGTTTTTTGTGTTTCTTATTGAAAAGTGATTTCTGTAGAACGAAAGTTATGTTGGATTCATTTCTAGACTTCGAGAGCACTCATCTTTTCTACATTTACTTTTTTTTCAGCAGGTGATCAAGTAAATCATTAATATTGGTCATAATACTCCATACACACCATATGAGAGTTCCACACATATATACTGTTCTAAATGTGCAAGCCCCTGTGGCCTATTGACTCTGTAAGACTGCACCAACCAACTAGAATGGGTTGAAGTCCGAATAAAAATAAATCCAGTCATTAACTTCATTATTTTTTTTCCGGACGTACATTATAAAGTTCTATAGCACAATGACATCTTACGTTCATAAATAAATACATTTTTTATTTAACTTGATTCGTATTTATTATTAAAATTTGCGGATTAAATAGCATCCGGATATAATGCACTCCGATATTGGTTCCACAATTACAGGCACTCCTGGCAGCATTGACCTGGTGGGACGTACCGGTCAACTACGTCACACATCAGGCTAGGACACATGACGTACGTACACGTGATTGTACCGGAAGTACATTTACAACCGTCACATTTGTCCCCTTCGATATCCGCCCCATCCGGATAACGAACACCATCTTGGATACACTCTCCTGAAAAAGAAAATAATAATAATAAAAAAGTGTGTATGTAATGGAACTAATTTCATAGGATAATTTTGATTTCCGAAAAAGTCTTGAATATCGTCTATTTATCGGATTATCCAAACTTGTTTTATCAGAGATTTAAAAAAAATGAAGGTACTACAACCCGATTTTTTTTTTCAAACGCCAACTTGTCAAACTAACGACTGATAAACTAACGAGAGTTACCCGCCTATCTAAACCCACCAGACTTACCCACGTGTCTGGACTAACGATATTTACCCACATGTTGAAATAACGAAAATTACCTACGTGCTGAACAAACGAGATTTGCCCACGTGTTGAACTAACGATAGTTACCCACGTGTTTAACTAACGAGAAGTACCCACGTGTTTAACTAACGAGAGTTACCCACGTGTCTGAACTAACGAGATTAACCCATTTGCCTTGACTAACTAGAGTTACCCACGTGTCTAAAAGTAAAGAGCGTTACCCATGTGTCTGTACTAACGAGAGTTACCCATGTGTCTGTACTAACGAGAGTTACCCACGTGTCTGTACTAACGAGAGTTACCCACGTGTCTGAACTAAAGAGAGTTACCCATGTGTCTGAACTAACGAGAGTTACCCACATGTCTGTACTAACGAGAGTTACCCACGTGTCTGTACTAACGAGAGTTACCCACCTGTCTGTACTAACGAGAGTTACCCACATGTCTGTACTAACGAGAGTTACCCACATGTCTGTACTAACGAGAGTTACCCAGGTGTCTGTACTAACGAGAGTTACCCATGTGTCTGTACTAACGAGAGTTACCCATGTGTCTGTACTAACGAGAGTTACCCACTTGTCTGTACTAACGAGAGTTACCCACCTGTCTGAACCAATGCGGATCTTCGTCGTTAACATATATACCTTCCGTTTGTGTATTGCAACACTGTATAAGTATGATTAATGGAACAATTATATTGTAAATATGAAACCGTAAATCATCTGTTCAAATGTATTACCTGTATATCAATACACCTGCAGTGTATACATATGTATATAACTTGGATTCAGTACTTATGCAAACCAGCAGTTACCAGGAATATGTCGTGTGGGCATGTCGGCAATGTACCAGGGCAAATGATATAACCCAAACAGTTGTTATTAATGGGATAACCATTAACATGTCTATATTGTTTTACCCTCTGGCTACATGCAAATTTCATATTTATTTGTATACAAAACATTGTAGACGCGATTCAACCGATAAACTGACTCTAATCCGACCAAAATAACCAATCCTTCTTAACGTCGGTAAAGACATATTGAACAATAGAATGAACTGGTTTTTGGTTATCAGGTTTAGATTCTCGTGGCACGGAAATTGCGGGATTTTTTTCTTTCTTTTTTTTCGGAAGGATTCAGTTAGCTGTTTCGACTCACCATTGCTAGCTCGCAGTAGAGACACTCCATCAGTTCTGGTGACGTAACAGGAAAACAACGTCACAAGAAGCACTACTGCCGACAGCTTCATCTGGAAGTGAAAAGTCAAATTAGCTTTTTATTAATCAAATACCCAAAACAAATTTGCACGTGCTACGGTGGCTGATTTGCGTCATTTCATTGTTTTGTCCTTTTTTGTCCCGAAAAGACAACAAGCATAAGTTCTCGTTCTTTCCTCTTTAACCCTGAAAAGACGAGATTGAAGACGAAAATACGAGAATAAAAGTTACGAAATGGCATAAAGATGAGACAAATAGAATTAAAAACAATGAAATTAGCCACCGTATGAGTCTACGCTTAGTCATTCTACTCTTGCAAAAAAAATCTCAAAAGAATTTCTTCAATATAAATATCATACATTACATTTATTGGTAATATATTTTTTATATACATTTTAAATTTGTGGAGGTTTACTAGTTTTTAAAAGCAATATTCTGATGCGGAAGCAGTATTTGATATAAATGTAACATTATATCCGAACGAGAGTTGGCCGAGAGTTGGATATAATGCGTGAACATTCACTCAAAATTAGCCGTTCAATACTGCTTAACTTGGCGATCAATGAACTTCGTGCCTAATGATCTCTGTCTCGTTGCAAACAAAACACTCGAGAAGTTGCGCTGTAGTTTTTTCCTACATAAGTGAACTGTTGCCGCCCCTTAATTTCTTTTTTTCCATATCAGTACGTAACTCGTACAGCAGATAGAGCGACAGGATAGTGATCAGAGGTCCAGGGTTCGAATCCTGGTCTAGTCCCGTTGCATTTTATTTTGTACCATCAGAACACTGTTGTTTATTTTTTTGTTTATTTCATTTTTATCATTACATCATAAGTATTTTGCAAGTATGATTTTCTTTTCATTAATGATTTAACAAAGCTGTAGTTATACGTGAAATGAGGATTCTGAGGAATGGTTACAGTTTTTGTCAGTGTTATGGAAATCAATTGTCTGAATAAATGTCTTCTAAAACTGTCTACAACGTTATCTTTCTATTATCTTTTAGTGATAAACGCATATATTATTTATCGTAAATAACAATGTAAGTACAGATGTATTATAGAAATATAACTTACCTTTGCGTGGAATTTAGTTCCAAGTAGCTTGAAATATTTTCGGAATGTTTATACCGTTAACGGTTCGAATTTTATATATACCTGAGCGAACGGTCAGCTGTTGACCAATACTGTTCACGGTGACGATACTATCCACGTGTCCAGCTTATCTAATTATCCCTATTTATATTAAATAACAGCTGGCCATGACAATTAGATGAGGAACTGCGTCCATGACAATAAATACGAAACCGTGCACTATCACAATGATGACATTTTTACAATTTCCATTATAATTTACTCCATTACCATTGTGGCACCTATTATTACTGACCCGCGATAATTAATAATTGCGCTCACTCGCGTAGTTCCGTGTTTACAGTAATCTGCAAAAAATATTAAAACACGTTTTTAAGCACAATTAGAGTTTCAAGAACCAGGACAGTATATACTTCACTATACGTCCATGCAAGAACATAATGTTTTTTTACATGAATTCTTCATAAAACAAAATTGAAGATTTCAAGTAAGCTAATGATTTATAACAAGAGGCCCAATGTGCCTCAATATCTCACCTTGAAGTCTATCTTCTTTTTATGTTCTGTTGAATATCGTACGTTTGTCAAAGTGTACCAGAAATATAAGCTATAACAATGACTGAATACGCAGGATTGGACAAGACACCAAGGACATAGATTTCATTCGTTTCTTCAGCCTAAACAGTTTTATATATGTGATTATAGGATGGAAATCCTAAATATTTCTAGTTCAAATTTTCTTACACAGCAGTGTTCATGTATATGCCTTTACGGTAGAGATCCATGTTTTCATGTGATATACTATGGAGTATGCCCCCATTGGTGGGGCTGGACCTCTGAGCCAATCCTAGTAGCATTAGTGTTTTCATTTGTTGATGTCTAGAAATTGTATATATGGTTGTAGGTTGTGAATCTCAAATGTTTCCATGAGGTACACCATGGAGTTAGTCCCCATGGGTGGGGCTGGACCTCTGAGCCAATCCTAGTAGCATTAGTGTATTCGTCTATTTATGTCTTTAATCTGTATATATGGTTATAGGTGGTGAATCTCAAATGTTTTCATGTTATGGCTCAGGGAGTTAGGTAAGGCAGTAAGTACGACCAATATCGGTCGGTAGGGTGATCAACCAAAAATGGAAATATGGAAACGGTAAAACTTCCGACCAAAGGACTTGTGCTTAAACCTAGCTACCAGTTCACGAGACGTGCGTAAATTTACGGGTAACGTAATTCATACGTATGTTTCTTGGCATGGTTATTAACAACCGAGGTCATTTAAGAATGTTTTTCATGTGGGAATAATGATGATGATTGTTAATGTATTTGTTTATATAACGTACATTATATACAGGTTTCTCTTTTCCACAGGATGATCATTTTATACAGATTTCTCACTTTCAATGCAGGTCTCTTTTCGTCATTAGATGTCGTTGTAGATATTTTTTTCTGTTTTCCGTAAGATGATATTGTATACAGGTTTCTGTTTTCCATATCTTTGTATACATGTTTTATTGTATATAGGTTTCTGTTTTTCATACAGTATCATTGTATACATGTTTCTGTTTTTCATATCATTGTATACAAGTTTCTTTTTTTCATATCATTGTATACAGATTTCTATTTTTCATATCATTGTCATTTAATACATATTTCGGTTTATCATTTGATTGTCAGTGTTTACAGGTTTATGTTTTTCATTAGACGTTCTTGTATACAGGTTTCTTGTTTCCATAATATGTCATGGTATGCAGGTTTCTATTTTTCATTAATTGTCATTTTATTCAGGTTTCTGTTTTCCATATCATTGCATACATGTTTCATTGTAAAAAAGTTTCTGTTTTTCATACAGTATCATTGTATACAGGTTTCCGTTATCATTTATATGTCATTTTATACAGGTTTCTGTTTATCATTTGATTGTCAGTGTTTACAGGTTTATGTTTTTTATTAGACGTTCTTGTATACGGGTTTCTTTTTCCATAATATGTCATGGTATACAGGTTTCTGTTAATCATTTAACTGTCATTGTATACAGGTTTCTGTTAATCATTCAATTGTTATTTTATACAGGTTTCTGTTAATTATTTAGTTGTCATTGTATACATGTTTCTGTTAATCATTCAATTGTCATTTTATACATGTTTCTGTTCATCATTTAATTGTCATTGTATACAGGTTTCTGTCAATCATTTCATTGTCATTTTATACATGTTTCTGCTAATCATTTAATTGTCATTGTATACAGGTTTCTGTTAATCATTTAGATTTTCATTGTATACAGATTTCTGTTAATCATTTCATTGTCATTTTATACATGTTTCTGTTAACCATTTAACTGTCATTGTATACAGGTTTCTGTTAGTCATTTAACTGTCATTGTATACAGGTTTCTGTTAGTCATTTAACTGTCATTGTATACAGGTTTCTGTTAATCATTTAATTGTCATTGCATACAGGTTTCTGTTTTCATTAGATGTCACTGTATACAGGTTTCTGTTACGCTGTGGCAGTTACCCGTCATTCTCGCTGTATTTATTTAAAGATATGGAGGAAAACCTTCATTTCATACGACTTATTTTTAGAAATCCTATAAATAACTATATTAGAATTCCCAACAGGAAGGTTAATCCTGCTCATACCTAGCTACAGGCGATCTACTGTTTGTTAAAAGACATTGGAAAGAACTCTTCATCAATATGAAACTTTAAAAAACAGGTAGGACAAGTTGTGTTTTGGGTTACGTTTTAGATAAATCGAATGTATGTCAAAAGATAGTGTCACCCACAGGGGTACGAACCTACAAATATTATTGATTTTGTTATACTTTCAGTTACTCAATATGCATATGTAAGCACGTATTACTATGTTATTGACTTAGTTCGATTTTCAGGCACTGGATCACGTAGTGTTTGTGTATTATACGTGTCTCTATTCTGTAAATACGCCATATCCTACGGAACCTTGAACCAAGGGATACAACTCTTTCATGAATGTTGAAAAGTCTTTATATTTTAATATAAGCGCAGAACCAAGATCCTTTTGACTAGCAATGTTGAATGTGTAAAAATACATCTTACTGGTGCAAAAAAACATAAAACGTAAAAGTTTCAAGACATCTTACACCTGTATAACTAATAAAATATGTAACTGACACCTGCATTACAGGTAAAATATGTTACTAACACCTGTATTCAAAAAAGCATATTATTTCTAATCTCACCTATACTCCAAGTAACATCTGTTACTGATACATGTATTGTCGGTTACATCTGTGACTGCCATCTGTATTAAAAGTTACAACTGTTACTGACACTTGTATTTAAAGTAACATCTGTAGCTGACACCTGTACTGAAAGTAACATCTGTTAATTACACCTGTATTTAAAATAGCATTTGTTTTTCTGACACCTGTACTTAAAGTAACACCTGTTACAGACACCTGTATTTAAAGTAACATCTGTTAATTACACCTGTATTTAAAATAGCATGTGTTTTTCTGACACCTGTACTTAAAGTAACACCTGTTACTGACACTTGTATTTAAAGTAACATCTGTAGCTGACACCTGTACTTAAAGTAACATATGTTACTGACACGTGTTTTTAAACTTACATCTGTTACTGACACCTGTACTGAAAGTAACACATGTTACTGACACTGTATTTAAAGTAACATCTGATACTGACACCTGTATTTAAAGTAACATCTGTTAATTACACCTGTATTTAAAATAGCATTTGTTTTTCTGACACCTGTACTTAAAGTAACACCTGTTACTGACACTTGTATTTAAAGTAACATCTGTAGCTGACACATGTATTTGAAGTAACATATGTTACTGACACGTGTTTTTAAACTTACATCTGTTACTGACACCTGTACTGAAAGTAACACATGTTACTGACACTGTATTTAAAGTAACATCTGATACTGACACATGTATTTAAATTAACGTCTGTTAATTACACCTGTATTTAAAGTAGCATTTGTTTCTGACACCTGTACTTAAAGTAACACCTGTTACTGACACTGTATTTTAAGTAGCATATTTAACTTATACCTGTATTTAAAGTAACATCTGATACTGACACTTGTACTTAAAGTAACATTTGTTACTGACACCTTTTTTCAAAGTAACGTCTGTTACTGACACATGTTTTTAAAGTAATATATGTTGCTCATAGCGGTATGAAAAGTTACATCTGTAACTGACACGTGTATTTAAAGTAACATCTGTAACTGACGCCTGTATTTAAAGTAACATCTGTAACTGACGCCTGTATTTAAAGTAACATCTGTTACTAAAACCTGTATTGAAAGTAACATATGTAGCTGCCACGTGTGTTTAGCCTACCATCTATTACTGAAAAGTGTTATTTAAAATAGTATCTGTTATGACATCTAGTAAAGAACATGTAACATCTAATACTGCCACATGTATTTAAAGTTATATCTGTTACTAACACTGTTTAAAGTAACAGCAGTTACCGTGGAAAGTATTTAACATGACATGTAACTGACACCTGTATCTCAAGTAGCAACTGTTACTGATACCTGTATTGAAAGTAACATATGTTACTAATACCTGTATTCAAAGGAACATCTGCTTATAAAATCTTAATTTAAAGTAGCATTTGTTTCTGACACCTGTATTAAAAGTAGCATCTAATACTGACACATGTATTTAAAGTCATATCTGTTGCTAACACTGTTTAAAGTAACAGAAATTACTGACGAGTGTATTTAAGGTAACATGTAACTGATACCTGTATTTAAAGTAAAATATGTTAATAACGCCGGTATTTAAATTAGCATGTGTTACTAACACCTGTCTTGAAAGTAACATCTGTAAATGACACCTGTAATTAAAGTAGCAGTTTTTTTACTGACACCTGTATTTGAAGTAACATCTATTAATGTCACCTGTATCTAAAGTAGCATTTTTGTTTACTGACATCTGTATTTAAGGTAAAAATTGTTACTTACACCTGTATGTATGGTAAAATATGTTGTGTCCAGGTGAAAATTAATCTGTAATTGACACTTGCATTACTGGTTGAATAGGTTACTAGCATACTGTATACTGGGCAATTTTCGCTGCAGTTTCATTTTAGTTTTTATCGCCGTCCCTAATGAGGGCGAATTTATTATCACTACATCCAATATACTGTACATATAAGTAAACAGCATAATAAAAATAGTAATTAAATGTAAAGGACTAAATTAACACTGGGCGAAAATGGATTTATGGGCGAAGGGCGAAATTTTCCGGTATATGTATATCACGGATGTCATTATTTATTACAGGTATGAGGAAGAAAACGAAGCCAAAAATATATGAAGGGTCACACTACGATTCCACTAAAGAACCAGCTGACCAATCAAATACTGGTCAAGCTTTTCAGGCCATATCTGATCAGGCTGATCCCACTTCCGGTCAGTCAATGTCTGGTCAGAACTCAGAATGCCATCCATCTACTTTACAGTTGTCTACTCAGATGATCGTAGATCAGCTGATGACCGAACAGGAAATGATCAATTCACCAAGCTTTGTTCAGTCCCCAGTAGATCTGCCATTAACTGATCGGATCAACCCATCCATATCTGATCAGTCAAACAGAAAAAGGAAGATCTCGTCAGCAGCCGGTTCCGCAGAACAGGAAAGACAAAATGGAAAAGAGGCCAGGACAGCATCCTCCATGCATCCAAGTGGATCCTCATCATCACATAGTGAAGGAAATGTACCAATATCCAGTAATAACGAGCCAACACCACAAAGTAAAGGTACGAGTACACTGTAAAGGCAGGTCAGTTTTGCATGATTTATGAAATTTATTTCTTCGTGTTTTTACAGGGTTACCTTCTGTTATCTAGAGATGTGACATTATCTTTGATTATAACTCTAGTGTAAATGCTGTAATCTGATTGGTGGAGACAAATTGTTCATTCCAAACTGTCAAAGATTTAATATTGAGTCAATGGAAAGGCGCTTCCAAACGCCCTAGCAAAGAGTGGCAGTGGATATGTGACAGTGCAAAATAGTGAAAACACAAAGAAGATGCGTGTTCGGTTCAATTAGCCACCATGTTTTTTTCGGTATAATAAAATAAATTTGCCTCGGGTGACAGTAATACGTATTCTCAGGGCACTGTCACAATCTAATGAATGTATGGTTTATAAAATATTGGCGTCGATGTCAAAATTTAAACATTCCCCTGATGTTCAGTAAAAGAACCATCATAACCGGTATATATACTACTTAACTGATTTCATTTTATTTATATACATACATGTATCACAGGTACCTAACTTAGAACTGATTTCAACGTTCAGTACACGAGTTACAAAGCATCCAATCTTTTACAGAATCTTACTTGCCAGCTTCTCGACCGTTTGAGAGCCTATTTATATGCTTGGTATTATCGATACCGTTATGGTAGTATTGCAGTTAATATAACAGATATTCATTATTTTTTCGATCAAGTGCATGACCCCTTGAATTAGCAAATATATCATCCCAGCGAAAATAACCGGCTTAATTATACATTTGCCATTAAATAGTGGAATTGATCATATAGCTAGGTTGTCACCTACTAATAATTAATACTTCCGGGTGTTAAATTCTAGACAGATTTGGCAGTTATGGTCTTATTTTTCATTCACGTTACAAAAAAGGATTATTAATTAACATACTAGAATATCTCTTGAGATGGGGTTGTGGGTGGTATAAGTGGTTAAGACTTGTAAAATGAACAATTCTATGTAATTTGATACTGTTGATCTTTTTCAGGTACGAATGGTGCACCGCAAACAATCCCACCCACCATTGCCAGTAAACGTGAACATTTGAACTTAGCCATAAGTTCGGAAGAACAAGAGCACGATGTACGCAAGCATGATATAGGCCTTCGAGGAGTGATGATTAAGGATAAAGTGGATATGGTAGTGGCGCATAAGCGGGAAAGGAGTGAGCGTCTGACAAACGAAAACATTCAAATATTGATGGGAAAACAAGAAAGCCTTGATAAGGTTAACAATGTTACTACCAACAATGATGCGCAGTACCTCCCTACCCTGAAACAAGTGTCCTATAAACCAGAACCTATCGGCAAACTGGATGTTGTCCCGTTGTTTGGAAACTTAAATGATGGTACTTCCCCTCCGACTCAAGATTGTTCCACATACGGTATTGGGAAGGGGTTTAAATCCTTAGATATGCCCCGTCAATCTGAAGGTCAACCAACGTATGGAATCGGTAAGGGGTCTAAATCTTTAGAAATGACCCATCAATCTGAACCAAATATAAGTGCTTCTCAAAATCTACCGTCAGTAGCCAATTCAGCTGATATACAAAGTGACAGTGATTACCTTGGATTGTATCTACCTGACAAAGCACTTGAAAAACATATACTTGATTTGTATTTAGAGACTGATGAACTTCCAACATCTCCCAAATCAATGACTGATGAACAAATATATCCCCCATCAAACATTTCAGATTCCTCTTTGACAGTTAGCAATAACACCCTGAACGTGACACCATCTGCTATCGGCAGAAATGAACAAGAACCATCAAATGTATCTGTCATTGCTGCATTTCAGTTTCCATTTAACAGCACTTGTTTTGAGATGTGTCCACATACAACACAGAAACAATGCTGGATGCTCTGTGACAACGACACAGTAATTAGACTTGTTGATAAAGATGGAAGAGTAATCAAACCAATTGACAGAAATTTCAGTCCTACTTGTATCACAATGATAGGAACTAACACACTTTTAGTTGGTAATCGTAACAAATGGATCAGCCAGATCGTACTACCTGACAATACTATGTCTACAGCATTCGTTACACCATTAGTGCCGATGGGTATTTGTGTCACCCCTACAGGGGAACTTCTGGTGACCATGTCAGATACAGATGTTCTAGCCATCGAGCCTCAGCCAAGTTCTGTTATAAAGTACACCACCACAGGACGGGAGATAAAGAGGTCCCCGATGTGTGACCAGTTTGGTGACAGACTGTTTGTGTGGCCAATCAAGGTGAGTGTAAACCATGGAGGTGACAGAGTGGCTGTTGTCAATATCACCGATCAGAGTCAACATCGCTCACATCTTGTTATGTTGGACGGCAATCTTGACCTTGTTGCCCGATACACAGACCATAGACAGTCAATACCTAGGGACACAAAATCCAATGTAGCATCAGAGACGTTTTTCATTTCTGATGTTCAATTTGACAAATGTAACAAATGAGTCCTGATGAGTTGTCAGAGTGATATGCAAAATGCACCTTTCTTATTGAATGTAGATTTGGACGGAGACGTGTGGATATCTTTCGTAAAGAATTTTGTGAAAATAATAACGTACCAATAACATCAACCGGGACCGTTGTTGTGAAAATACAGAGATATCGACACATCTGAACAAGTTCACTCCATATCCACGGAGTAGGGGACAGGACCATAACATTATTTAGTTACTGAACATTGATTCTTTTTGTCATTTTTGTCATTGTCTTTTATTGTATAACTTATCTGTCATATCAGTTAAATTAATGTATGCCTCAGAATATCACTGCAGATTTGTTTCCATTCAAATCAATTTATATATGTCCACTGCTCAAGGTAAGTACACTGATGTTTTTTAGAGGACGTACAAGTAACTCCCAGCATACGCTAATTCGTGGTTATTATATCAGAAATTGAGGTTTGCTGATGAAGTATGACTTTCAGAATTGTTCACTATTTTTAATTAACACTGTATGAATATTGACTGATAGTAGGTTGTACCAACTGTATATTTGTTATGTGGCTCTCTTAGTAATAATTGTATACATTTTTATGTATGTGATTTCCGTCGCCTTTTAGTTTTGCGCTAAAGGAAATTTCCCTTTGGTTCAACAGTGGACTTAGAACCTGGAGATCGCTGGATCGATCGCCGGTGAAAACACATGTTACGCTCTTTTTGTTACATATGGTGATATTGTCCGTGGCCCTCCCTATGGTGGCAGGGAGTTAGAACCCTGAATTGTTGAGGATGAGCCCTTTTAAAAGGTGGGATTAGTGTGAAAGGTTTTTATTGTATCATTAAAGTCACCTTCTAGCTTCCTGCTCGGGATAATTTCCCTTTATATCTTACCCTGGACAGAAGTATTAACACTTTTCCCGATGTGACCCTAGTGTTGAAACGGGGGAATTCCTCTATTCAAAATAATTGTATGACGTCACGTCAACCATGCATCAACTTAACGTCAACGATGTATTTATTCTGTAACGTTAACATTACATTATGTATATGATACATATTGGGTGAACAGGGTCAAAGAAAAAGAATAATTCACCCCCTTGAGGTGAGATTGGGAGTCTCAACCGTCGAGGGAAGATTCTGAAGTTGCAAATCACTCGGCAAAGCCTCGTGTTTGGCAACTTGATAATCTTCCCCTTATAGGGGATGGGAGATTCTATTAATCTCTATCGGTACAGCGGGGCCCTGGGAACCTGGTGATCGCTGGTTCCATTCCTGATGGAAGTAACCTACTGTTTTGATCAGTAGCATGCTTGGATAGATTAGTGTGAAGTTTCATTTAGTCTGAAACATTCTGAAGCCAAGGATACTCAGTAAATGGAAACATATGCAAAAGTACTTTTATCAAGAATATTTTCCGATATTTTCCTTACAACATAACCTAACACCGTACGTTTTACTCTCTGCCATACGCATGAGGTCAAAAGTACAGACACAACTTATGTACATTAGACATACTTCACGGACATTTTATATGTTGTGAAAACTTATTAAAATGATTTGTAAAATTTTAAATATATCAAGTTACGACCCAAGGGAGATAACTCTGTTACTCTTGTAGGCGAGAGCTTGACTTTTCACAGATATATTATGTAAAGCATATAGTTGATCCATTTATAAATATTTTTATGTAGTTGGGGAATGGTTTCTATTTAACTAAGGTCTCGAGAAACCTTGTCTCCAAATTCTATATGAAACTTACAATTAATCAGGTTTAATTTCAAACAAAATATTTAATTCTACTAGAATCTACATATTAAATTTAAAAATGTGAATGAGTTTCTCTAGTAGATATTATTTAGCCTTTCAAAACATTGTCGACGTGTCAGAATATGTATCAACCAGTTACCTATTATATGTGTAAGAAATTAATGGAAATTGTCAAAAAAATGTTCGTTAACATTTTGCCCCTGATGTGAACATTATCAAATATAATAAAACCGTCATATATATCTAACATTGACGTAAACAACCATTTTGACGTCACACAAAAGAATGAGATGACGTCAAGAATTAACGATGAAATGCCAATATGGCAGCGATTTTCTTTGTATTTTGGGTAAACGTGGGGCGGACAAAACATATAATTTCTAATACTTATGTCAATCATAAATGTATGAAAGAAATAATTTCAAAACAATTTTCATTCTTTTCGACATTTGCGGTATTCGTTGAATTTACCGTATATACAGTATATATATATATATATATATATACAATGTATATACACAATGTATATACAAAATGTGTTTGAATTTACAGTATACATGTTTATATATACAAAATGTGTTTGAATTTACAGTATACATGTATATATATACAAAATGTGTTTGAATTTACAGTATATATATATACAAAATGTGTTTGAATTTCTTTTCGTTGGTAGCGTAGTTCTTAAATTGTACTAAAATGTATAGTGTAACAAGTCGCACGTGCATTTATCGCGTGCTAGCACTCGACCATCCTCGATATCCAGGGGTTACGCTCACTTGAGCTCTCTGCAACCCTGAAGTATGTCATAGCAAAATTGAAGGCTCAGTGTACACCAACTTGTGGACGAGACAAGAAGACTAGGTCGACCCTTTGATGTTCTTCAAAAGAATCTCGCGGTCACGTAACGGTAAAATTTGACAGGCTTTGGAGTCGGGTGTTGCTCCTTTGTCATATTCAAAGAACATATCAGCCTGGCGATTGGTCAGAATTTTTTACCTGATACCAATCAAACAGCTATCTCCGTGCCGTCAATTTTGCTATGACATATTCCAGGGGTGCAGAGAGCGTAAGTGAGTGTAACCCCTTGATTTTTGTCAAGTCAACTATCTGCTATGAAATTTCAGCTTACTCCCAACATTATCATATATGTTAGAATTTATAGTAATTAGAAATGTTTAAACACCAAGTAGATACATAAAATAAGCTTTTGAAATTATTGCGATACAGCGATATTTCATATTTCATTGTTCTTAACTGGGGTATACGGTGGTCTCAATATAGATCAACCGGTATCGGTATCACACTAAATGCTTATAGAACATATAGCATAAGGTACCACTGCATCAGTTTAAATCGACAAAAAACAGTCATACCCAGAGTGATTTGAAACGCAATGTGGGTCTTTGTCGTTAGGTTAAGTAAACAGTTATATATATAGGATTTTACATGCGTTTCCATTTCATATGAGATTTATGAAATGAGTATAAGAGTTTTTCAATTTAGCGAGCCTCGATAACTCTGTTACTCTTGTAATCAAAAGCTTGACTCTTCACAGATATATTATGTAAAGCATATAGTTGATCCATTTATAATTATTTTTATGTAGTTGGGGAATGGTTTCTATTATACTAAGGTATCTATGGTTTCTATTTAAATAAGGTATCGAGAAACCTTGTCTCCAAACTCTATTTGAAACTTACAATTAATCATGTTTAATTTCAAACAAAATATTAAATTCTATTAGAATCTACATATTAAATGAAATGAACTGGCGGGTTTATATATTTAAAAATGTGAATGAGTTTCTCTAGTAGATATTATAAAGCCATTCAAAACATTGTCAACGTGTCAGAATATGTATCAACCAGTTACCTATTATATGTGTAAGAAATTAATGGAAATTGTCAAAAAAAAAAATCGTTAATATTTTGCCCCTGATGTGAACATTATTAGATATAATAAAACCGTCATATATATCTAACATTGACGTAAACAACCATTTTGACGTCACACAAAACAATGAGATGACGTCAAGAATTAACGATGAAATGCCAATATGGCTGCGATTTTCTTTGTATTTTGGGTAAACGTGGGGCGGACAAAACATATCATTTTCTCATACTTATGTCAATCATAAATGTATGAAAGAAATAATTTCAAAACAATTTCCATTCTTTTCGACATTTGCGGTATTCGTTGAATTTACAGTAAACACATATATATCTACAAAATGTGTTTGAATTTACAGTATATATATATACAAAATGTGTTTGAATTTATAGTATATATATATACAAAATGTGTTTGAATTTCTTTTCGTTTGTAGCGTAGTTCTCAAATTATACTAAAATGTATAGTGTAACAAGTCGCACGTGCATTTATCGCGTGCTAGCATTCGACCATCCTCGATATCCAGGGGTTACGCTCACTTGAGCTCTCTGCAACCCTGAAGTATGACATAGCAAAATTGAAGGCTCAGTGTACACCAACTTGTGGACGAGACAAGAAGACTAGGTCGACCCTTTGATGTTCTTCAAAAGAATCTCGCGGTCACGTAACGGTAAAATTTGACAGGCTTTGAAGTCGGGTGTCGCTCCTTTGTCATATTCAAAGAACATATCAGCCTGGCGATTGGTCAGAATTTTTTACCTGAGACCAATCAAACAGCTATCTCCGTGCCGTCAATTTTGCTATGCCATATTCCAGGGGTGCAGAGAGCGTAAGTGAGTGTAACCCCTGGATATCGAGGATGGCATTCGGTGAGATCGTACACAGCAGTACGGAAGTGATTTTTGTATTGATAATAATCCTTTTTGCTTCCACATATAATGTATATTGTAGAGTCGGCAATAGGGTTTATTTTGTCAAATTATCTTGGGATTTTTTTCCTAAATTTTGACACAGTATTTGTAGACGTCATGCTTGATTATTTGTTTTATTTTCATTTGTTTTTCAGTGTGACTTTCCGGAATGTGTATTTGACAGATTGATTGACTTTAAAGTGCCTTAAGTCCTGAATTTTAATATGAATTCACAACATTATTTTGAAACACATAAATTGGAAAACTGCTGTACACGAATCTCCCATGCTACTTCTTTTTGTAGTTCAATAATTGTTGAAAATCTGTTTGGTTTTATCAGTGCTCAATACAGAATGATTAAGGTATGGATGAGGAATAATGGAGAACGTTATTGCATGTTTCCTCACGAGAATAATAGAGAACACATTACGATAT